AACTAAACACTTAGTGTTCAAAAAAGTTAGACAATTCAATTTTCTATATGAAAATATTTTTTGCTTAATCTTTCACTGAAAAGATATCCTGATTTCTGATTTGCCCCGAACCCTCCATTTCCCATTGGATTACATGGGAATGACGATTTTCAAAAATTCATCAAATTTATCATCAATTTTCGACCTATTGTAATTGAGGAAAAAAATTGAGAAAATTTGGAAGTATTGGAAATTAAGTCAAGTTACGTTTCCATTAATATTATAAGTTATTTCATCGCCGGTTAAGTAAATAAAAAATCAAACGTAAAGAGGCTTTAACACGTAGTTCAATGGAGAAAAAAGGTTGCCAAACTTATGGAGGGGGGTGTACAATTGTACTTTTTCGTTACGATGTTAAATTCATTTCATATTCTGTCAATGTTAAATACATATACCTACATATAGATATCTCAAACTGGGAACTGGGGACTGGGGACCAGCTTAGAAGATACATACATACATACATATAACATTCATAGATATCTCAAAATGGGAACTGGGGACTGGGGACCAACTTATAAGATACATACAAATATATATATACACAAACATAGATATCTCAAACTGGGAACTGGGGACTGGGGACCTTCTTAAAAGATACATACAAATACATACATATTATACATGTATATAGCATATAGATATCTCAAACTGGGAACTGGGGACTGGGGACCTGCTTAAAAGATACATACAAATACATACATATTATATATAGCATATAGATATCTCAAACTGGGAACTGGGGACTGGGGACCAGTTTAGAAGATATATACAAATACATACATATATAACATGTATAGAATACACATATATCTCATAAATAAAGCATATTCATAGATATCTCAATGTAAGATATTCATGAATTATTGTTATTTAATTAACATATTCCATGCTTGTATATATATCATACATATATGAATACATATAATAATGTATGTATCTATCTAATTTGCATATTCTGTGCTGGCATATAATATACATTTGCATAAATATGTAGATATATGTATATATGCATAAATATATAGATATATGTATGTATACATATACATATATGTATCTATCTAATTTGCATATTCTGTGCTGGTTTACATGGCCCATAAGCCAAATTCTCTCTCTAATATTGGTTGAAGAATGAGTATGCTGGGGAAGACAATCTGAGGCTTAACGCAAAACTATAGATGGAGGATTACCGTGTAGTTTTAATGGTCTCCATATAATTAACACCAAAGTATTCCACAATGTTACTGTAATATTGGGTCTGAAATATTAGATTTATATTCAGGTATCTTACATGTCATCTGCAAGAAAGTTTACTGATGTCATTGCAAGCATACCATTTACAGTGCATGTACAATTATGATGTATAGAGAGGTCAAGGTTGATAGTGAAGGTACAATTAATACCTTCCATCTCTGGGTAGGTCAAACATTGATTTGTTGTGTATACAGACAGTGTCAATGTTAAGAACTAGGATACAGAATTTATCACAAGGGAAATATCCATACTTCTCCAAATGTCTCGATACCTTAAATACTTACAAAAAATATAAGGGGAGTTTTATGATTTATATGTGTTATGAATGCCAAACATAATAATTATGCAAAAACAACGATAAGTCGTTAGTTGTGCATTGTGCGAGGGCATGACGACATCATCAAAAAAGAGTCACCTGACTGACACGGTGGTGTCACTTCTGGCTTAACACTGGTAACTGGTCAACTCGTACCCAAGACAACTCGTACCCAAGTCAAGTCGTACCCAAGACAACTCGTACCCAAGACAACTTGTACCCAAGTATATGTTTTGTTTTGAATCAAGTGTTGGGCTGGGAATAGATATACATATTATAATGGTTACATACAGTTCAGAATAGTTTGAAGTATGTAGAAGAGTTTTTGGAAGAAATCGATTGAAATTTGTGACCAAATATATTGGTCACAGATTCAGATGTTCGAGGGAAGAGATTTATGTTTATTCCACATATTCATAATCATTGTTCACAATATTAGTGGTATTTTTGTATAATGAGTGTTTGGAACAAGTATCAGATCTAATTCATCTTGAAATATGGTATTATCAAAAATATAAAGATTTTCAAAACTTGCGCCTATTTCTTATTAAACAGATAATCTTTACATGCATGTGTTCAAATATGATCCAATTAAGTTCAAAATGGAAAAGAAATTAACAGATTAAAGTTCCCTTATTAATTTTCTCTGAATGCACTAAGCTAAATTAATTGTTTGATTCATTTGTTGAAAAGTTACTGTTGTAATTATATTCATTTATATATATGTATTACAAAAAAAGTAGAGAACAAGCCCTTCAAAGCACTTCAAAGGTAATCCAAGTAAAAACAAAATGCTTTGCTTAATCCATTGAGAAAAAATGTCTTCTAAATTCAGAAAAAAATATTGAGGCACATTATAACATTAAACATTTTTACACAGACTCAATTTGTTTTCTTATATGCACCCATAATACAGAAAATAAACGTGGGTACGAGTTGTCTTGGGTACCAGTTGACTTGGGTACGAGTTGTCTTGGGTACAAGTTGTCTTAGGTACGAGTTGTCTTGGGTACGAGTTGACTAGGAAGCTTAACACTTGTACCTGTCAATTCAAACAAAATAATATGCAAATTATTTTTGGCTAAGAGGGATGCAAGAGATTTAAAATATTTATTAAATATTTATTATACCAAACTGAAATTGATTCAAAATTCAAGTGATGAAACATATTTTTTGCAGAATATAAAATGTAGAGAATACTTAATATTTTCGCAAGGCACATACACTACATAGCAATAAACAGTTCATGTATTTTGACAAGTAGTCTAAAGGATGGGATTGATCATGAATTTAAAACTTTTGACACATAATCGATGGCCTTTAAGTTTTAGGATTAATTAGGTAAGGTTACGGGATTTGGGTTAAGGTTTTTCTAACTCATGACATGGCTTATTAAGCTTTTGAGCAAATTTCTTTATGCTGTTAAAATATGTTTTGGGTTGTAAAATATATAATTGTTTGTGCTGATGATTTAGGTTTTGGGTTTTCAGTTTTGTCATTTTCATTTAAATGGTATACTACACTTGGTTGATCAAGGGATTCAATTAAAAGATTGTGCATTCTGTGTCCTCTTGCACTTTGATCCAGAAGCTACCAAGGGAGGGGGGGGGCAAACTTTGAGTTGGGAAAAAAATTGGGCCCTTAAAACTAAAAATTTGGCCCAAATTAGATAATTTGGCATAAAAAGGTCAAATTATGCTAAAAAAGGCCCATCTTTTGAGGCATTTTAGTTTTGGGGTACAAATTTTGCAATTGTTATGCATGGGTTTGATTACTAAAGATATTTTTTAATCTTGAGTTCATAATAACCTGAATCTGAAGTATATTGTGGTACTTCTGTTGTTTCTGGTATTCCTGTTTTCGCAGTTGTTGTACCTAAATATATGGACTCATCATTTCAATACCACGATGCAATATGGTGAAATTAAAGTGTAAATATTTTTAAAGTATATTATTTTAAAATGTCACAAATTATGATAATACATTATTTACAGAAGGTAACTGAATGCAAAAACACAATGGTGGCCTAGACAGGAATATTGGAAACACTCTAATTCAATATTTAATCTTTCAGTGACATCGATCGAATCAATCACTTGAGCTTGACATTATCCATGATAATCTTCAGCTAAGCTTAATCTAGGTTTGGTGTCCTTATGTTTGCATGGTCCTCTTGATCAATAATGGGGAACATTAAAATGTAATGGTGTTGGAAAGATAGTTGAAGCACATACAATACACACAGAAATAACAATATGTGGTTTATCGCAATGTTTCCCCCCCCCCCCCCCCCCCCCCGGTGTAGTTACTGCATTTTACACATAAAAACACACCAGTGTGCATATGAAATAACACATTCACACATAGTCACCTGCTGTAGACGTCTTAGATTTACTTGTAGTTGTCTCTCCTAAAATTATGGAAATAGTAAGAGGACTATCATTTAAACACTTTTACCTTTCAAATGGTGTATTACAACCTAATGACAAATTGTTTCATTTATCTGAAATGCTTATAGCTGTAAGTAAGTATTCTCATATAGTTGAATCTTCTAAACTCCTTTGTAATATACTAGATGCAAGTAGAAATAATCTTGATTCACTTCATTAAATATTCAAAATTTAGTTAAAGGGATATCATATTCGATGAAACTGGTAACTACCTACTCACATCTTGGTAATTAAGTCAAATATCTGCAGTAGCAAATATTTTGGAAAATATAAATTGAAGTAAATTTTCTCATGAACAATTATTGTTCAGCTAATGCTTTTAAATCTGTCCTCATTCACTTCGTATCATAGTCACACAAGCACTTTGGTTGTTTGTGGTCTTACTGGTATTTACATATAATTTTCACATATTTCAGGGGGCTTTGCAATTTGATATTTTTCCTTTAGCAGATATTCTGAGCATTCGAAACTGGTGCAGGAATTAAAATTTGGAATAGGGTTTGAATCAAAAGATATTTTGATTTCTCATTGTTTTTTGTAAGTCAAAGATAAGTACATGCATGCAGTCGAACTATTTTTGTTTGTCAATCAGTAGTGAGACAAGCAATTGAAGAACTACAACCAGGCACATAGCCAGCTTTTGCCAAAAGGGGGTCACTTTTTAAAAATTCTGAGGGGTTCCCATTAGAGCATTTTAGCCCAAAGTCACTAGACAGGTGCCCAGGATGTTGAAAAACTGCATGATTTTGAAAGAATTTTCAGCCGGGGGGGGGGGGGGGGGAAGGGGTCACTCACATCCTCTGACCCCTCCCCCTTGCTACAGGCCTAACAATTATATTATATGGAAAAATACATTCATATTTTAGAGACCTAACTTTTGCACATTAAAGATAGTTACTTGTGTGTGCTGATCCCATTTTGAATGTTCCTTCTTTATCTTTTTGGTTACATTGACTCTCATTCACATGTTCAGATTTGTCTAATTTAAAGAAAAGTTCAATTTTGTTTGTAATGTTTATATACAATAATTTAATTTTAACAATATCCAAGAAAAATCAGGTCATACTTGGTGTGTACATAATAAGTGCAATATTTAGTATAAGAGCAACACAGGTGAATATACTAGTAAATATAAACGTAAGTTGTGTGCAGGCCAGTCGATAGCAATATACATGGCCAATCTTTGTATGTGCATCATAGACTAGTCCGAATATAGCTGGGTATAAAAAACTAAAAATTGTGGACACAAATAAAATGAATCCCCACATACGACCAAATTTGTTTTTGCTTAATGTATCACTTAATATTGCCACAATAAGCACAAACGAGCATGAATGAGCCATGGTTATGACAATATTTGCTGTGTGTAATGCTGTTAAGTTAGTTCCTAAACTAATAAGTAATCCTTGGCCTACAACAAAACCCATGTTGGTAATAAGCAAAATAATAGATTTCTTTATCTTCCCTTTCAGCAATTGAGCAATCACAGCAATCATAACACGTGCCAAAATCCCTGCGATTGGGCGTAGAATCGTAAATATGCCACTGTATGCCTCAAGTTTGGCAGATTTCAAAATTGCTGTGATGTTTATTAAATAAAGAAAACCTACTGGTGAGATAATACTCTTCAACCAAAGAATTATTTGGAAGTTTCTAGTTGTAAAAATACTTTTGGAATCCAACCAGGTTTGTTTGATGACTTTATATATTGAGGTCTTATCTCTCATTTCGTCGTCTCCAGAATGAAAAAGGTCTGTAGATTCAGAGTCATCAACAACTTCAGCAAAGATATCCTTTAGATCATCCTCATCTTCACTTTCAGCTGCAATATAGTTATCATCTTTATCACTATCTTCATCATCTCCATCATTGGCATCTGACTGAGGGGCAATTTGTAAGAAAGCAAGGCAGCAACAGTTTGCGATACTTGAACCAATTGTTAGTATCAAAATAAAGCCTGACCAATTTTGGTTCTGTTCATCATATATGTGGCCATTTACAAAATAACTAGCGTATATGATAGTTAATACTAAGGCACCTCCTCCAAAGAATGATTCAAGAATAGCTAAAGCCTGAACACGACGTTCGCTGGTAAAGTTACTTATAGTGGTTGTCACAGCTGCCATATAAGTGTAGGTCACTCCTTGTCCAATTATGAAGAAATATAACTTCAACAATCCTGCTTTGTAAGTGTAAAACTCAATGCTCTTCGTTGTGCTCCATAGCAATAAGTATCCTGTAGATGTTAGGATTAATCCCATGGCTGATGTAACCCTAGGTCCGAACATATCCTGGACTATCCCAGCTGGGAATGCAGTATGAAATCCAAAGTGACACAGGGCAGCCATCATATCAATGTCACTCTGTGTGTAGTTGAAGGTGTGTTTCAATGCCAATGAGTATACATTAAAAATAAACAAACCTCCACACCAGAATTGAGCTATACATGCTACAATCAATGATGTTATTGTAAAACATCTGAGGTAACTCTTTGAGTAGATGTTTGCCATCCTTCCAATGTCCAAATGATGAGCAAATGATGAGGTAAGATTTATGATTACATCCCTTATTTGAAGCTTTCAGAGGACCCTATATTTGCGGCCTATTCAAAATCATCCAATGTTATATGCCCTTTGTATGTTCTCAATATGCACTGAATGTGCACATTATGCTTTCAAATAAAAAATGTTTTCAAATAGTATCTTTTATAACATCTTTTATAAAAAATATTTATCATTTTTTCAAGCTTAATGTGTACTTAAATTCACATCACTCCCCAATATTTATTTATTTTTTAGGAAACATGGGAGGGGATTAAAGCTAACTTTACATGATGCACATATAATTGCTGTCTGAGGCATTATAAACAATAGATATCTTTATAAAAAATTAGAAATGATTTTTTAAATACAGGGGGACACAAGAAATGTCACCCTCATTTTGGAACAACCCTCTTAATAATTAGTGAATCTTCATGAATTTTCTTGTGTAGATAGAGTGTTTAATGCATAATTTTTGACAATTAAAACATATTAATAGTACAGTTTTGTATGTTGTTCCTAAAATAAACTAAGATTGTAACTAAAGTAGAGCCCCTTTTAAAATCAATGACCATTTTCAGAACTGACTTAGTCTTTTAAGCAGAACTTATACTCACATGGGGTATATATGCATAAAATATAAACGATAATGGGCCAACTTGGTTCGATAGATAACAATTCCCAGAATTCACTTGTTTCCCATTTACATAGCTAAAGACAATTTATATTTAAGAATCCTGATAAACTCAATATTTTGGAAAACAAGCAGCATAAAATAAGAACACAAACTTACCTGCATCTCCGCATGCATTTGTTTGTTTATAGTTCCCCAGCAGTGAACTTCCAGTGTTAATCAATTCTTGCAATTTACCTTCCAGCTCATCTGCATTATCTCCTGTAGCAACAAAGGAATGTAGAAAGGTAACCATGAAAACAAAATGATGCAGTTCAGTGAAAACATCAACACCATGAATAAGTGAGGTAACCACAGCAACAGGAAAAACAATGATGGTGACCATATCAGAAATTTCATCTGGAGCAAGACCCAATGCCCATAAGACATCAGTCTATAAAAATAGGATATCTGGTATTTGAAAAACTTTTTTTCTGAAGAATGGCATTCTTGAGGGGAGTCTTATATCCTTAGCCATCTGAGCACATAAAATCTTGAGTTATGAAAGATGGCAAATTATGCTCGCAAATCAAAAATTTAACTGAGCAAAATTGCACAGTTTAGCCATAATGTTCAGAGAGTCAGACCTACCAGATATATACACTGTCACTTCTTTACATGTAGGATTTGTATTTTGGCCAATATCCTCCACTGCAATGTTCCATGTATCTGTATCAATTGCCCCACTCACTGTTTCAACCAAATCTTTACTAAAATGGAAAATGGTACAATTGAAATGTTGTATATAGGTCAAGATGAATCTGAACCCCTGCAATTGGAGGATGATGAATGGAGCAGTCACTTAACTTGACTAATGTATTCACTTTTTGTAATGGACTGTAATATAAGTTTGAACATACACGGTGAAAGCCACAGAATCCGCTGGGAATGTCATCACAATAGACTTTACAGATGATCCTGTAGGAAGGATATCTGCACATGCTATACGACTGGCCCCTGCATCCTTTGCATGTATTACCACTGACCTCCCAAGAACTGCAAGAAAATTACGTCTATTTTCACTGATACAAATAAAAATAAATGTCGCAAACAAAATTCAAAATAAACATGTTCATGCACTGGACAACATATGGCAAGCTCAAGCTATTGTTTACTTTGTACACAATAAAATGTATAATTTGAATAGGATCGTTTAACAATAGATATTTATTCCAATAGATACAACAACTAGCAACAGTACATTTATTATCATTTCATCTATCAGCAAGTGCAACTTGTAACAATACACTTATAAAGTGTTGTTTTTTGTAAACACACATTTTCAATAAAATAGTATTTGTAATTACCTTGCATCAACAATTTTCACATAGCATTACAATGCATATTTTTGTGAATTATTAATTAAGTGATAGCTATCATAAAAACCTCTTTAATAATATGTTATACATTTTTATTAGGAAAATATGAACTAAGTGAGATTATAACAGTGCAGACCTATCCTTATATAAATATAGAATATTTTTAAGTTTGGCATTGAATTCTAAAGGTTGGTATTGATATAAAAAAAGGTTGCTGCTAATGTTTTAAAGGTTGGTACGATTTTTGATAGATGGGTAATAAATTTTGTAGAATATACATTTTTATGTACATACAGGGTGTTCAGGTATTTGTAAATTATCAATTTTTCGACACCATGTGTAATAATAAAATACTCTATAATAGAAAAAAGGAATAAATTACACATAAGTGATTGAGAAGATAACAATGCAGACCCATCCATATTATTAGCTCACATGGTAAGCTATAGCAATCACTCACTTGTCCGTCTGTCTGTCCGACTGTCCATTTGTCAACAATTGGCCTCTGTCAATAGGATTCCCGTTTTAAATTATTTTTGTTCAACATCAATATAGAAAACCCCCCTATGACTCCTGGTTCAAAAGCTCGCTTATTTTCAAAATGGCTGCCATTTTTGTCCTGCGAAATTCACTTTTGGACCAGGTGTCCTGCATTGTAAAAAGCCATGTCAATGTAAAGAGTAGTTGTATGAAATAATTTTTTTACAAAAAATTAGCAAAAATTACATCCGTATTTCTATTTTCTGCCATTTTAGCCATCATTCACTTTTGAGCAACACCATGTGAGCCCAATACCCATGTTACTATTTATTGGTACTGCTGTTTTGAAGTTAGGCATTTATTTTCCGAAGGTTGGTACTGATTTTTTAAAGGTTGGTACTGATTTTAGTATTGCTGACCTACCTGAGAAGTTACCAGCCAAAGGTAGATAGACATCATTGAATATCATACGTCCTGCTCCTATAGACAATTTAGTGTGTTTGCCAGACAGATCTCCTAACTCACATCTTAGAGGGTTGCTGACACTGCAGTCTGAATAGTCACTCTGAAACATACAACATCTCCCCATTAGCATGAAGCTTACCAAAGAAAAGACATATTTCGGTTACAGTTTGTCTACACTTTTTTATTTATATTAGAAATGATTTTTTTGGCCAATCTACAGCCTATATATACATGTACAAGTATATCCAGAATATAAAATCAGAAAAAAATTTAATTCAAAGTCAGTCATGTTACATGTAAACACATATAACTCATTCTTCTCTTTCCGTCATAAGTACTATAGCTGACATTTGTTTTAATTCCAAATCCAATCAATCTTGTCAGCAACAAAACTATAAAATTATTTGTAAAAGTCAGAGATAGGTTTGAATAGCTGATGGGCTCTCTGTTAAATTGATAATGAGAATGACCAATGACAAAGTCTGGGATGAAATTAGGGAAATCACAAATTATAAACTAAATGCCAATAAATAATATCAACTGACTATCAATATCATCATCAAATAGCTCTAAATAAAAATATCAATAATTTAATTTAAGATGGGCAGACTATTATAAAGACAAACAGCAATAATCTATTCTGATTGTACTGTTGTCCAGTACAGGCATTTGATTATAACAAAATAACAAAACATAACAAAGTAATGAATATTTCTGTTTAAGATTGTATCTCCTTTATACTTCAAAGGGTTGTTCAAATGGTCAAGTCAATATAGAAGTATGCATTTTAATACTCATTACTCTAGTTATGGCCTTTCTACCTTGTAAAGACGAAGGAAACTGAGATAAGTTATGATCGCATGATCATAAAAGTTGTGATTGCACGATATGTCACTGTTAGAAAGATTAAAGCTGGACTACGCTCCGAAACGCAATCTTGGGTTGTTTCGTGGGTGAACTTTATCATTTTGAGCTTAATGAAAGATTCAAACATGACCGTGCTCTATTCGAATTTCTCAACCAATCAGAATGCAGCATAGCCAATATAGAACGTTCTCTAATTCTCCATAGATGCACGACCATGCTCTATTCAATCTGCAATTTGCATTGTTTTGAGTGACGTCACATCTCAGCTGCACATCTGGGGCTCTGTCCGGGGATAGCTGTTCTTTTTTTTCATGCCCGTTCCACAGACACGGCTCACTAATTTTTATGTTTGAATCGGAATAAATAATGATAGGCCATTCAATATGGTGAAATTCAGCACTCGTTGGACAGAATGTTAGTACAAATGCACTCACCTTCGGTTCGTGCTTTGTACAACATTCTGTCCAACTCGTGCTGAATTTCACCATATTGAATGGCCTATCATTATTTATTCCTTAATTATAGAATGATGAACAAATGTGTAGAAATACTTACGATAAATGTGTCATTTCAAAGATTTTTCATTGAATTTGCTTCGATCAGAGCCGGCGATATGATTTTGGAAAGGTTTCTAAATGAAGAACGTGACGTCACTTCCGAATCATAGCATTCAAAATAAGTAGCGCGTTTAATTACTTCCACCATACATAATAATACGGTGGTGCAGCGGTAGAATCCTCGCCGAGCACGCGGGAGGCCCGGGTTCGAATCCCGCATTCGCCTTTTCATTTTTTTAACTAAATGTTTGTTCTTTGATATTACGCAGAAAAAAACAATTTTTATTTACATAAACTTTATATTAGAGCTTGAAAATGTAAAAACAATATATGTCAACATATTGCGTTTTGGAGCGATGTGCAGGTTTAAATGCTCAATCGGCGATGTCTTCAGGAGATCAGACATGATTTGAAAAACAGAATCTTTTGATTGATAGATTAAGAACTTGTGGGGGATTTCAACTATTGATCCTATGTCATCAGAACAGAAGATAACATACAAAGATAAAAACAAAGCCCTAAAAACAATACAGCAGTCAAGAAATGAAATGTTGACAAAAACTCAATGACATTTCTGATAAATATAAATTGTCTGCCATAAAAACAATCATCAATCAAATTCAATGGACTGGTATGTGACAAATAAACTTTATAACAATATTGATTGAAAAAAAAATGTGGTCTTTAGGGGTTATATGATACAAAATTCTAATATACATTTTTTCATACTGTAAATATACTTGTAAATGTATGGTAATATTGAAAAACTATGCTTTAAGTCCAATGTTTTTTGTTGTATGCAGCTACATTTGATGGTCTACAATGCAATTTTGAAATTATTTCTGAAAAATCAAGAAACAAGCGAGACATTTTTATTTTTATTGGATAGACATCCCGAATAACCATCATGAAAATTCATTCAAAAAGTAAATAGAAATAGACCTCCTTCAAATATACAAAAATCATCTGGAATATTTTGCACCTCCCTCGTATGCTGTTTTAATGTTTCATTTATTGAACATAAAAGTAAGTATTGTGATGCATGTAGTATTTGCATATAACTTAGTCATACATACATCATAGATGACATTTCAATAAGATTATCAGATAGACTCATCCACAAGGATATCAATAAGTGCCAAGATGTTCCCGAGATACTCTTGTAAGTTCCATTTATTATATCACTCTCAATAGGACATTGTTAAAATTACACTAAAATAAAACATGTACAATGTATATGCACTTATAAATATATGTCATGAAGTGATGAATGCCAAAATATAATCAATATTGAAAGTGTCATGAAGAGATCTATAAGAAATAAATTTTGTAAAAATTATTGAAAAGATAATATGTATACTGCAAGAAGAGAGAGCAGGAAACAACTGAAGATTTCAGCGATACGAAAAAAAGTGATATAAAATCTTTTCTGCCCTGTATTTTATCATTCATCAGGAATAGTATGACATTTTTCATCATGCAATATACTGACATTCACAACATAGACATGCTGACAATGTCACAAAAACATTTATCAATTAAAAAATTTGGATTAAAAATTATTTTTCTGACTTTAAATTATGCCTAGGTCACATTTGCCTCGATTCATCAGCCAGCGCCCGGCTGATTGCAGTATTTTGTTCAAAACTGATTTCAACTTGTTTTAAAATTGTCAAACCTTTTTTTAAAAAATCATATAATAGTTCTCACGAGTTCACATCGGACTTCAAATTTGAAATTTGACCTTCAATTTTAAAGCGCCGGCCAATGAATCGGAGCAAATGTGACCTAGGCATTAGGTACCGGTAAGTCTAATTTGATAATTCTTTGACCTAAGTGTGCATGATACATTGAGCAAGCTATTGTGCTCAAGTTAATTAGCCAGATTATTCATTCTGCTGGCCTTACCCTACGACTGGTATTATGTTGAACTTATACCCACAATGAAAACTGGGTGCAAAAGTAAAATAATTTCTCAATTAATCATACATAAAACATTATTATTAAATATTTACAAAAATCAATTCTAACCTTGTATCTTTATTTCCAGGGTTAATTCTGGCCCTTGGTATTCTAGGGATACGAGGAATTCTAGGGATTCCAGGAACTCTAGGAAATCAAGTAATTCCAGGGATTCCAGGTAAGCCAACAGAGTTTAAGCATACATATAAAGTCTAAACGCCAACCTTTAAGTACAGTATGACCAAATGCCCATACAAATGCATCACTTAAATATTTTCCGTTCGCGTTTAGGTTGTGAAAAACATTGCAAGCTTAAACTCCCTATTATCTACATACAACGGTTAACTACAAATGTGGATCTTCTTGCCAATGAATGCCAATATAAGCAATTTTGAAACAATTGATTTATTTTGTATTTTCAAATTTTAATGGCTTCCTAATTGGAGTCAAAATCTGTTGAAATATTGCCTTAAACTGTGAATAAATAATGGTAGCAAGGAGCATGTAGGCTATCGCAAACAATTTCAGACAATTCTAACTTGAATATTGAATATTTTCAGATCATGAACAACTTTTAGGCCCATCTGTCATCTTCAGGAAAATTGGATATAATGATGATTTAGTTTATCAGGCCTAAGGGATATTAAAGGGGCAATCATATCAACATACTTTTTCAGAAATGTTGACCTAATTTTCACCAAAAATGCAACTTTTATTATATTGTTAAATGCATCATTGTGTTTTGAGACATGATCTATTTCCTAAAAGGAAAAGTTGATTGCTCCAGGAACTTTAAAGATACTACATTTGGATGACCAAAATGTACTGAAACCAATGGATAGAATGAGATTTTCAAAGGAGGAATAACATGGGGAATAAAAATCTTAGAGCAAATCAGTTAATGGTCATGGTCATTGTCAGAAATGTCATTGTCAGAGTCTTAATCCAAGATATAACTGTCTGATATTGTTTGCGATAACCTACGTGAACTAAAAGATAAACTAAAAGATCCCAGTTGAAATGGATAAAAAAATCAATTTAAATAGAGAAAATAACTAATGTAGGAAAGACCATATGATTACCATATGAAACATTTCCTTCATTAACTCATGAATCTCATTAATTAAATTCCCATTAGACTAGGAAAACTCATTTAATTAAAAAAATAAATGTCATGGTTGTAATTTGAGTAAAAGAGGTAGCACATGAATAGGATCATCTTTCTGGTCCTAGCAAATGGTTATTTTAGTTACCTTAGCAACACACCGGAATAGCCTGACAATGGTAAAGTCAGATACAGTTGTCACAAATGGCGGACATAACCTTCGCTTAAACTGTTAAATCACTTGGTCCTCATTTCATGGGATTTAATTGTCGCTAGTTCTGTGCATCTTGTGATGATGTTTCATATGAAATCCCAACTTCGATCAAATTGGGTCGTGAATCGCCACAATTTAGTGTCTTTGATATCGTCAATGACAACAGAATTTGAATTTGAGTAATTTAGAAAGACAACGGCATATGGTAATTACAGTGTCTGTTGTCCCGTATCTCATTTTGATTGGTTAAATTAAAGACTTTATTTAGATGGTAGAACTTTATTAACTGTACAATGAGTATTAAGACACTTTGATTGATTGCTGTTCCAAAGGAATTTAGTCTAGGTGCTCTATTAAACATACAGTTCATGAAAATCTAATTGAAGCGACGGTTATGTCCGCCATTTGTAAGACTTTATAGTTGTCAGGCTTTTCCAGAGATGAGCAAGCAAATAATTTATTTAACTGCAATATACATGCATATAAAGGCAAAACATGAATAAGCAATTACTGCTTTTATTCTATTCACAATATCTATTCAAAATATTTAATAAATGTTCAAATACAGCATACAATTCAAACATCATACAAAAAATAATCTCACAATAATGGGATGACCTGTGAATGCAAAAAGTAAATGTTCAAACAAAATATTATAATTAAATAAATCAGTTGCAGTTTTAGTGATCAAAAATCAAAATTCAAAGGATAACAAGACACACAGTGATAAATATCGCACTTTGAAGAGCAAACTGACCACCATGCAATTTACCCAGCATGGCCAAAACCTAATCAGACCTTGGCACTAGTCTGCTCTTGCATCTGTAAACATTTCAAGTTGACAAGGTTAGCGGTTTTTTGCAATTTTGATGACAAGAATTTATTTGTAGTCTTGAACTTTGGGAAAATTTAGATAACATTGTTTGTGACCTAATTTGATGACCTTCGACCTTGAAAATTTCACTTTTTCAGACCTCAGTAGGTCTTTTGTAATTAGCTGACCTAAATTTAAATCCAAAATATCAATTTAGAAAATCAAATTTTTGACCTTTTCAAGGCCACTGAAGGTCAACGAAAGGTCAAATCTGAAATCTAAGGTCTGGTTTGAACTTCTGAGAACTTGTAGATGTTTTTAAAAAAAAAATTTGGTCAATTTGGAGCAAGTTGAAAAATTCAAAATGGCCGCCAAATTGAAAAATTCAAAATGGCCACCATGTAATTCAGCCAGCATACCCAAAACCTAATCAGATCTTGACAATAGTCTGTTCTTGCATCTGTAAAAATTTCAAGTTGAACGGATAAGTGGTTTTCCTGGAATTTTGATGACAAGATTTGTTGAAAAATTCAAAATGGCCACCACGTAGTTTACCCAGCATGCCCTTAACCTAATCAGATCTTGGCACTAGTCTGCTATTGCATGTGTAAAAATTTCAAGTTGAACAGGTTAGCGGTTTTCTTGGAATTTTGATGACAAGAATTGATTTGTAGTCTCAAACTTTGAGAAACTTGGATAACATCATTTGTGACCTAGTTTAATGACCTTGACTTTCGACCTTGAAAATTTCACTTTTTCAGACCTCAGTAGGTGTTTTGTAATTAAGCTGACCTAAATTTAAATCCAAAATATCAATTTAGAAAATGAAATTTTTTGACCTTTTCAAGGTCACTGAAGGTGAATGAAAGGTCAAATCTGAAATCTAAGGTCAGATTTGAACTTCTGAGAACTTGTAGATGTTTTTAAAAAAAAATTTTGGTCAATTTGGAGCAAGTTGAAAAATTCAAAATGGCCGCCAAATTAAAAAATTAAAAATGGCCACCATGTAATTCAGCCAGCATACCCAAAACCTAATCAGATCTTGGCAATAGTCTGTTCTTGCATCTGTAAAAATTTCAAGTTGAACGGATAAGTGGTTTTCCTGGAATTTTGATGACAAGATTTGTTGAAAAATTCAAAATGGCCGCCACATAGTTTACCCAGCATGCCCTTAACCTAATCAGATCTTGGTACTAGTCTGCTCTTGCATCTGTTAAAATTTCAAGTTGAACAGGTAAGCAGTTATCCTGGAAATTTGATGACAAGATTTGGTTTATGTCCCGCCCGCCCGCACGCCCGCCCAACAGCACAAGACGCCGACAATATAGCACTTTTTCAAAGTGCGATAATAAAAATATACTAAAATGTCAACCAGAACAACGGCAACGCCAAAGCGTAGCGAATCCCATCGAACAGAAATGGCTGGCATTTTTACAAACGAAATATATAGCAAATATCATGAAATAACACACATAAGAAAGGCCACCATTTTCAAAATGGTTGTTCACTAGCCAAGTTTTCAACAGAAGAAGTAATATGCTTTTTTTAGTATTCACGTACCAAATATGCACAAAATCGCTTCACTACTTTTCGAGTAAAATACTTTAAAATGGTGGCCATTTTTCAAAATGGCTGCCTTCTACCAAAAGTGTCATTAGACAGTGTGCCGTGCTTATAGTATTCACATACCAAATATGAACAAAATCGCTCCACCACTTTTCGAATTACAGTAAAATACGTTAAAATGGCAACCATTTTTTAAAATGGCCACCTTCTACCAAAAGTGTCATTAGACAGTGTGCCATGCTTATATTATTCACATACCAAATATGAACAAAATCGCTCCATAAAATGGCCGCCTTCTAGCGAAAGTGTCATTAGACAGTGTGCTATGCTTATAGTATTCACAAACCAAATATGAACAAAATCGCTCCACTACTTTTTGAGTTATAGTAAAATATGTTAAAATGGCAGCCATTTTTCAAAATGGCCACCTTCTACCAAAAGACAATTACATATTACCACCATTTTCCATAAAATGGTTTATCAAAATGCCCCGCTTTTTTTTGACTGACCTCTTCACCCCTCTCTCCCAAAAGCAGACCAGATATAGCTTAATATAAGAAACCAAAATTCTTTCAATATACCCTTCTGCAGACTTAACATTAATTACAAGTCGTTTCTTCCAAATGCCATTAGAATATGGAACAACCTTGAACAACAGTTTAGGAACATTGGTTATCTCCCTCTATTTAAATATAAACTTAAACATTCTATTTGCAAAAGCAAAAATAAACTTTACTCATTAAAAGCCTGCAAATCTGCAATTAATCATGGGAGAATCCGAATGTGTCTCAGTGCTTTAAACCATCAACGTTTCTCTTACAACCTCATAGACTTCCAACATTGTGCTTGTGGTTTCGCACAAGAGACACCACTTCATTATTTTCTTGACTGTCCCCTCTATGTTGCCCAAAGAACAACTCTTTTCAGGGAATTAGGGAACATAGCCGTAACCAATAGACATTATCTTCTCAATCATATAATTCATGGAAACAAAGATTCTTCATTCATTGACAACTGCACTCTATTTAATCATGTCCAGACATTCATCAGAGACACTCAGAGATTTCTATAACCATATAAAACTGTCTAACCTATTGCATGACATCTCAAAATTTTATATGTAGACCCCTAGGGGATGTAATAGTGTCAACTGTAAACCCTAGGCTAAATAAAATGATTTAAAAAAAATGATAATGGTCATTTGAAAGATTTGGTAAACAGATAAGATCGTTAGTTGAGTCAAAAGTCGACCCTCACTTGGTAGATGGTGGCTATTGGACTTCTAAGCAGTCGGCAAGAAAATCTATTCAAATTGTAATTAAGTAATAATCATTATTTCAGCTGACGGTTTGAATATAACGAATATAACGAAACCACACTATAGTGATTACCACGAATGCAGGCCTGTGGATGAAGATGAAGATGGACTATGTGTAGAAGAGTGTACAATGAAGAATGAGACAGCAAAAATAGAAGATTCATGCACTAATGATACAATGTGTTGCTTCAATGGATGTGGGCATACATGTGAGACTGGTAAGATCATCCAATACTGATAAAGAAAGACTGGGGTTTAAATGGAGCAATGCAACTTCTAAAGTGACAAATGAAAACTCAGACTCATCTCATGATTGCGGAAGTTTTTTTAATTGTAAAGCTACGGCAGCAATACATTTTTAAGTAAGTATGCCAAAAACGAGCCTTCGTTGGTTAAAGTGCACTCTTAATCTGCTATACAGCATTTCAATGAGATTTATAATGAGCTGATCCCATGATATTTTCATATATGGAGATGTTTCATAGCCAATTAGCCAATTAAAAAAAGATAAACATTGGTAAATATCACACGTTGTATAGCAAAGATTCCAAATACTCTTGCATCAGTAAATATTTCAAGTGATACAGGTCTATCAGCACAAGACGAAAATACAGCAATTTGGTAAAGTACAATTCTTTTTTATTTATTTATTTGCTAAAACACTTTTAGAACAGTGGCACATACAACATGTAGACAATAAAAATATAACATGGCCATATTATGGAATGCAGACGGTAGTTAAAGTAATGCGCTCTTTTAAGAAGTCAAACAAATGCAAACTGGGTAAACTGTGGATGTGGATGTAACTCTGAGGATACTTTTTTTCTTAGGTATCCCATTGGACAAGCTATCAAGCCTATCAGGTGACAACCAACCTAAACTGTGTTCCCAGCCAAAGAAAACAGGCAAATGCAAGCAAGTTAAAGGGATCCGTTTCTACTATGATATGCAGGATAACACTTGCAAAGAGTTCAAATACAGATGCAGTGGCAATGATAACAGATTTGACACAAAAATGAAATGTGAAAAGACATGCATGGTGTCAGGTAAATGGACTTGTCAACATAGTACCTTGTATAGTACATAAAAGTTTATAAATCTTTTCTTTGTTTCCCAAAATTTCACCTTTTTTCTTAAAGAGATCGAGTCGTCCAGATTTCTATTCTGGACAATCAGTAATGTCCCAATATAATTGCTCATAAAACATCATTTATACCTTAGATATATCTTGAGACCAAATCATAAGCACGATATCAACAATATATTGAGGATATCAACAGGACAACCAAAAGAACAACCAACTGTCAGAATTGAACGCAATAAGTCGAAAACAGAATACAATGTTTTTTGGGGGATTTATCTATATTATAACCCCTTAGAAGTAATAAATATGGCTTCTCTAAGCCAAAATAATCTGAAGGAAAAAGCCAATCAGACTGGAACTTTGAGCGGGCTTTTTAAATTTAATTTGAATTTCTATTGATGTAAGTGGAAATTCATGGCTAGGAACAATCATCGAATTGATACAGTTAACGAATTAATTCAAGCCTCAGAATTGATAAGTTGATAAACAAACTTGTTTTACATCAAATAACACGAAAAAATCAGGGGGTTACTCTAATTGTGTTTTTAGGAGACCCGATCTCTTTAATAATAGCACAGGGAATGGTGTCAATATTGAATCTTTTTATCACCATTATTTCAGCTTCTGTAGTTCCCTGAGTAGAATCAAACCTGATCTGAATATTTCCAATATGCCTTTTATAGACTATATCTGTTTTTGGTGATAGCGCACAATTACAATTTAATTTCATCTATCTATAGCCAAATATGGATTTGGGCTCTGTTTTACATTCTCCTTGATATTTCTAACCTATAGACATCTGCACTTTGTCAAAGCAGAAAGGACAGAAAAGTTGTAAATCCAAGAAGGTTACAAGATTTTACTATGACTCCAAGACAAAGATGTGCATAGAATTTCCATATAGTGGTTGCGGAGGTGGAAATGCTAACAACTTTGAAGACAAGGAAACATGCATGAATTCCTGTGGTAATGAATATCTTACATTAAAATGATTTTCTCCTTTTAGATATTATACATGTTATATTACACATGTATTCTTTGTTTCATGTTTTGTATTTTATTTTATTTTAAATTCTTATCAGATCATGCCATCTGGTACCATTTCCATTAATTTGGTTTTGCTTCTTCAAAAGAGAGTTTCATCTACATAATGATTATCAAGCTCTAACACTCAATGAAGCATTTAAAGTTTTCAGCTTTATTAAAAGATGTCACCAAAGTTTTAAGGAATAAGCCTTTCAATCCAGGAATATGAGTGACAAGTTCTAAAATATGAATTTATTTTTTGAGACTTTTTAAGATTGTTCATGCCTTGCGAAATAATGGGAATCAAACAAAGAAAACAATTGGTTTAACTGAAAACTTAAATAAAACATTTATAAATAAGAACAATTTCCTATAATAGTCAGCAGTATGACCTTTACTATATACATCACACACTGAACTTTGGTTTATATGGACTTACACTACTTTTAATTCCAATGATGTCAAGAAACATTTCCTGTAAATTGCTACATGTATTTGGTAGATTGACCCATCAGTAAAAAATTGACATTTTATCCATGTTTTTTCCAATTTCAACCGTTTAATCGTACAAGGCACATGTAACACACATAAAAGGCTCTGGACAAAAATCCCTGGAGATTCCCGAGGATTTTTCTAAAAAGAAAATCGGAAAATACATTGTTTGGAGGTTTTTATCAATCCCCAAAATCTGCCAAATTAAAGCAATTTACAGTAACAATTATATCAGACTATTACAGTCAGTCAAGCGCAAAGATCAGCCAAATAGTATACTTCTTTAATACCTAAGCTAAAATGGTTTGATAAAAAACATTTTGGAGCCAGTGATATCCTCTTATAGTGCATGACATGAAATTCAATGGGCATGTTGTATAATGAATGGTTATTTGAGTGTTGACTTTTACATATTCATAATTATTCAGATACATGTAAGCTGCCAAAACGTGTTGGCCCATGTGAAGCCAAGATTTCTCGTTACTTCTACAATCCAGAAACAAAAATGTGTGAGATGTTTTACTATGGAGGATGTGACGGAAACAGAAATAACTTTGAGACAAAGATGGAGTGTGAAAACAGATGTGAGTATAGAAAAACGTATAGAATATTTGCTATGCAATTTGTAGTGCAATGCAGGGTGGTCAAAAAAAAGTGAACCCCTGCAACAGGCTATAATTTCCTTAATACATGCATGAATTTGCTCATATTATCACATCTTGTAGAGAAAGGTCTAAAGTTTTTGTCGATGCCATAATTTATTCTCAGTTTTGAATTTTGAAGAAATTACAAGACTTTAACAAACATGCATACAATTAGATGTTTTGCAAAATTTAACCAATGTCATTCACGGGAATTGTTGAAACACATTGGATGATCTTTAAAAGGCTTACAGTGAGAGATATAAGTTTAAACCATTCCATATGACAAATGGGACACTATTTGGGTAGAAAACACATTCCCCACTTTCATTGACTATTTTGAAGCAGTTTTAACCATTCAACAGTTAAGGGGCATGTTACCTACACAAACGGTTAGAGGGGGGAAAAGTTATCTCATGTGACCCAAAATCTGAGAAGCCCTTCATATAAATATCTTACAAAAATCAAATAGAAATCTAATTGAAGTGTTTTGAGCCATACTTCATTAGAATTGGTCCATGATTAATGAAGATATTGACATTTTAAGACCATATAGAGGTATGTTGTGATTTCACTGAAGATTGTTTTCGTCTTTGGAAACTTGGACCATTTCTTTGGATCACAATAACATTGCAACTAACGGAGGCAGGATGCTAATTTTTACACTATAATGTGCGGGCTTCAAAACCAATCAAAGTCAGAAAACATTAGGTTTTTCAGACTGCAGCTAAAAAGATTTCCACAGGAAGATTGTTGAAGGGTTGACAAATCGCAGATGTTGAAGTTCACTTTTTATAGATTTTCAGTGATGTTTGGTTAGGGCTTATAATTTCTGCAAATTTCATGATTAAGAAAGATGTATGGTACCAACAAAAATTTTAGACCTTCCTCTACAATATGTGAAAATATGAAAGAATTCCTGCTGTTAATAAGGGAAATATAGCCTGTTGCAACAGTTCACTTTTTTGGACCACCCTGTATAACATTGATTTCAGAAAATGTTTATTAGACCATAAAATTAGTTAACCTTGAACGCTAATATAATTCACTTTTGAATCAAGCATATTTACACAATATTCGGAAAACACACATCAATCTGACAGGAGAATATGTTTTATGGACAATGATATCAGCTTGGAAACCGAGGTTAAGGTTCAGCTGGAAAGTAACATTTTGGTAAAAAATTGCTATACCTGCACATGTTATTTTCTGGTACAAAATTAATTATGAAGGCATGTGTGTATTTCCTTGCTTTTTTCAGGAAAGTATCATTACACTGTCTTCTTTTAGAATATCTAGAAACAAGCCAATGGTAGCTGTACCTTAATCTTTTGATTTTGAAACTGTCTGTCCCACATCATTTGAGTTTGAATGTATGGAAGGGATCACAGAGATTGTATGTTAGATCATTGCTTGAGATTCTTAGGCAGTATGTGTCATGTATATCTCAAATTGGATAATGTGTGCCTCAAAGTATATCATATGTCTTAAAGTAGGTCATTTGCATAACGCTATAAGATACATATGATCTCATAATGGGTCATATGCATCTCATAGTGTGTCAACTGGTGAACTGGGGCATGTGTCTTATAGTGTAGCATGTGTCTTATAGTGTAGCATGTGTCACATAGTGTAGCATATGTGTCTCATGAAGTGGCATATGTGTTTTCCGCTATCAAATTATCTTCTACTTTGCAAGGAACCTTTTTGATGTGATCACCACAAATGATAAATGTTTTCATTGATAGGTGCCCCTACATGTGAATGGTACTGCAACAATTGTAAGCAGAGAAAGAGTACGAAATTGCTATCAAAATGCTCAGAATGCAAGCAATACCGCAGCATGGATGCAAAAGTGTGTGATGCTTGCCTACATAAAGATGGCACAGTATTTGACTGCTTCAACTGCAAGAACAATAAAAACTCTTAAGCAGAAATGGCACTATCTAGTTATTTTGTATTGTATAAAGTAATAGAGCTAATAAAGTACCTGTATTGTTTGCGAAAAATTCTTTAGTTGGCTAGTTTTTTCCAGAATGGTCTGTGGAACATAAATCAAAGAATACACATACTGTGCACTTATATACCATAAGATATGGTACCTTGATAAAGAGAATTAAAGTGTAGCAGTTATCCTGACCATTCTATCATACCTATATGGATCAGATCATGGTTTCTCCAATTAAAAGAGACACCTACCATCACATACACACAATACATCTCGCTTTAAGATATTAAACAAGACATATTCTTTGGTTTATAAATGTACAACTCATTGACCTTCCTTTTGACAATGCCCTTAAACCATTTCCAGCATATTTCTGTCAGCCTTGATTGGTGAGATACTGATCAGTCAGTCTAACCTAAAAAAAAACTGTTTCTGTTGTAACAATAAAGATTATTTAGAATATTGCTTATCAAACTGTCAAATTATTCGTGCATGTCAGAGGAATTACTGTTGTAATCTAATATTATACTAACAATGTATTGATATATCCCTACCTCATGCTATCGATATAATCTCTGTCCTAGGAGATAATTAATCCATTTCAAACAGGCCAGAATGGATTAAAGAGGAATCAAAATTAAAAACTGACAAGTGGACTTCACATTTGATTAAACTGGAGTAAGAATAATTGCAATCAATCCCATTAAAGTTCATGTATTCTTTTTTATAATAACAGTTCGGTTGCTATTAATATAATTTATAATAAGGATAATAAACAAGGATTAAGAGATAAAAGTTAGACAACATTGTTTTCTAGAACGATTAGTAATTTTTAATCAACACGCAGAAAACAGTAAAAAGAAACTATGGACATGTATTCTAATTATTATATCAAAGTTTTATTCCATGTGTGTATTATATTAATCATTGCTGGTCAAACCCAGACAATGAGAAGAAAACATAAATCTAGGATCACTGACATGCCAATGAATGAACTTATCAATAAGTTCTTTGATAACATTGACCCAAATGAGGTGGATATAGAACGTGACACAAACAAACAAACAGAAACAGTAAATATAATAAATATTTGTAACCTTGACCCCGACCGAGGACCATGTAAGAGAAATCGTCGTCGTTACTATTACAATCCGTTGAATAATCAATGCCTTCAATTCAGCTATGGAGGTTGTCAAGGAAACAGCAATAACTTTCTTACACAAACTGCTTGTGAAAAACAGTGCATGCTAAATGGTAAGACCCTTAAATTGATTACGTGTATTTCTTACAAATCTGCTTGTGAAAAACAGTGCATGGTTGATGGTAAGACCTTAAATCAATGTCATGTATTTACTCTATAGTATTACAAATGTTTCAAGTAAATTAGAAAATATCATCATTAAGTTTTTGCATGTGAGTATGCAAGCCTACAGTGTATAAGTAAAAGTTAGAATGAAGAGTGGTGGAAAATGTTGGACGCGTTCTTCTCAAATCATGTCAATGTTGCCTATTCTTATTTTACAAGTATATTCTTAAAAACGAATTCAAATATTTGAAGATTGAAGATTTTTAGATATATTAAAATTGAAAAGGAGATGTCTCCTTTTTCATAATAATTATACATGTAACTTAAAATTTTAAAGGATTATCCTGAAATAACTCAGAATGTAAAGAAAGTTTTGTTTAACCTTACTATTTAATTAGTTTTAGTTCGTACTGTTTATCAATGCTTTATCCAGAAAAAACAACTGAGTTTAATAATTAAACGTTGGTGAGAATCAGAATTACAAACATGTTCCCTGCAAAGTGCATTAGGTGTGCAATGGCGTTAGACAGATTGGTCAAGTGAGGTTATCTTTAAGATATTACAAATTTGAAAATGGCCACTTGGGAACACTAGAAAAATAGTTACTCTCTGGAGTAGCGGATCCTACCAAACAAAACATCTAATAGAAATAGCCAGACAGTAGTATTCCTCCTTAAGCAGTCTTATGCCTTCTTAAGGCATCAGCACATACAATCTTAACAAAATCTGACAACAGGTATTTGAGTTATCAAAGATTATACAGAAAATTTTCAAGTAAATTAGAAAATATCATCATTAAGTTTTTGCATGTGAGTATGCAAGCCTACAGTGTATAAGTAAAAGTTAGAATGAAGAGTGGTGGAAAATGTTGGACGCGTTCTTCTCAAATCATGTCAATGTTGCCTATTCTTATTTTACAAGTATATTCTTAAAAACGAATTCAAATATTTGAAGATTGAAGATTTTTAGATATATTAAAATTGAAAAGGAGATGTCTCCTTTTTCATAATAATTATACATGTAACTTAAAATTTTAAAGGATTATCCTGAAATAACTCAGAATGTAAAGAAAGTTTTGTTTAACCTTACTATTTAATTAGTTTTAGTTCGTACTGTTTATCAATGCTTTATCCAGAAAAAACAACTGAGTTTAATAATTAAACGTTGGTGAGAATCAGAATTACAAACATGTTCCCTGCAAAGTGCATTAGGTGTGCAATGGCGTTAGACAGATTGGTCAAGTGAGGTTATCTTTAAGATATTACAAATTTGAAAATGGCCACTTGGGAACACTAGAAAAATAGTTACTCTCTGGAGTAGCGGATCCTACCAAACAAAACATCTAATAGAAATAGCCAGACAGTAGTATTCCTCCTTAAGCATAGTCTTATGCCTTCTTAAGGCATCAGCACATACAATCTTAACAAAATCTGACAACAGGTATTTGAGTTATCAAAGATTATACAGAAAATCCCTTCATGAGCAGAAGTCAATATGTCCATAAGGTATCAGGCTTTAAAATTTGAACTAAATCTCTTGACCAGACATATAGATAGATGTGGACCAATAGACAGAGGAATGAATGAATGGACAGATGGGTGGACAAAGGGATGATGGCTTCTGTATATCCCTCCTCAAACTTTGGTGAGATAATGGAGAGTTTAAGCTATCAATGTTTTTCACAACGCAAAAAGTACATGAATCAATAAAGCAATGTATAGCGCGCATACAAAACAAGCGCTAATTAGTCTACGTCAGATACCCATTCAGCTTCAGAGTTTCCTGTTTAGAACGCGAAATTCCAAACTTCATGTTGGTCTCAACGGGAATCATGATACTTGTGTCTATTGCAAAACTAGGCTGGGAATTTTGATACAAAGTAAAATTCTTTCTGAAGAAGATGATGTATGTCAATGATGTTTTAGCTCCGACTATCTTACCAAACGAGCTTGATTAAAATATGTATCAGAAAACCAGCTATAGAACTACTAATGGCGTATTACATGCTCCATATCACATACATACTGCGGTGTAGTCTAAACAAACACTGAATTAGCTCGAACGGCTATTTATGTGAGGAAGATGTATTTGTATATGGGCAATTTATATGTATACATTGCTGTTTCAATTTTATATACTAGCTTAAACTCTCCAATGACAGGTGTGAACTTACAAAAATCTTTGTATTCAATCAATATGATCTGTTTTATCAATCAACAGTATTTGGTGGGTATTGGCAGTATACATATACACTGTATACAAGTCGGGTTAGACAAGATATAAAACATTTCAATCTATCAGTCAGTGACCCTGTACAGATATATTTCATGTCTATGCAATAAAAGTTATAAAAAACTTGTAAATAAACACAAACTAAAATGTTTAATTTTTACATTACATACTGATATTGGCAATGACGATTAAAAAAGCTCGATCTGACAGGAACAGTGTCAGGTCCATTCTAGGTCCTATGCTCCAATGAACAATACTAACAGTATAGTAAAAGCAAATATGCAACACGCAAGTAACTACGTAATCGGTGGAAAAATTGATCTACATTTGGACTACCAGTCAATTTATTCAATTTTAAAATATGTTTCCTTTATTGATCTACGCCCACAATTGTAAGGTATATACATGTAATTCAAACATGACCATGCTCTAATTGAATTACTCAACCAATCAGAATGCAGCATAACCAATAATGAACGTTCTTTATTTCTCCATACTTGAACGACCGTGCTCTATTCAATCATCCGGGTATCTATATATTGTGCCGTCACACCTATGAATAGCGTTCAGAATTCTCTGAACAATGTTTTCATCTTTATGTTTGAATCGCAATAAATCACCATAACTACACTGTATATCGGATTATTCTACCATGACTACAATTAATGTATATCTTATTCCACCATGACTACAACTGTAAAGCTGATTATTCCATCATGACTACAACTGTATATCTGATTATGCTACCATGACTACATTTGTGTATCTTATCATGCCACCATGACTACATCTGTATATCTGATTATTCTACCATGACTACAACTGTATATCTGATTATTCCATCATGACTACAACTGTATATCTGATTATTCTACCATGACTACATCTGTATATCTGATTATTCTACCATGACTACATTTGTGTATCTTATCATGCCACCATGACTACAACTGTAAAGCTGATTATTCCATCATGACTACAACTGTATATCTGATTATTCCATCATTACTTTAGAGACGCAGATATGTAACCTACCAGTTGATAATGGACAATTCTGTCTGGAACCAACTGGTGAGAGGTTTTCCTGGGACCCAGCAAAAAAAGAATGTACAAGTTTCCAGTACAGGGGTTGTAGAGGGAACCTCAACAATCACTTGACCAAGGAATCTTGCTTAACAAAGTGTGGCCATCTTGGTAAGCAATTAAGAGGCTGTCAAACCAGTCTTCAGGATATATGACATGGCATTGGTTATAATCAGTAGACAGTAAAACAAAACTATAAGGATACAGAATATAACTAAAAGACAGAGTCCAACAGAAATATGCCATTATAGCATGTACTTTACAAGTCACAATAGTATTGGATGATTTTACGTACCACATTGGTTTTTTCACATTCAAAACAAATTTATGAAAGTGTATAATGTAATGAGGAGAGGTATGTCATAGATAGCTTGAAATTCTTTAATTATCAATTTTCATCTTGAAATCATTTTTGAACAAAGAACCCTCACAAGTACATGTTTAATGTTTCTGTATACACAGATATCTGCAGCCTGCCAAAGGACACAGAGGACTGCGACCTGCCTGTTCCTGCATTCTACTTCAACTCTGCCACACGGATGTGTGAACAATTGGAGACTGGCAAATGTCAAAAGAATGGCAACACATTTGAAAAACTAGCTAAATGTCAGGATGCATGTAAGTTTTGCCCATTTTTTTCTTCTAGCGAAGGTTTTTCACTGAGAAAGTACTTTTTGTGTGATTCTTCACAATAAATTATTCATGTACTCTAAAGAAATGTTTAGAAAAACACCTCAGACTTCATAAGAGAAAATATTTCAGAAATAATATTTGAGGGATTAGGATTAAAATATAGGATACCTCTCTAGGTCAAATGATTCAACCATTATATAATAATATGCATATCCCTTAACTATGTGTCTCTTATTTGTGTGTGCCTTAGTTAATGTGTCTCTAATTTATGTGATGTTTCTCAATTATGTCTTTTATTAGGTCGACCAACATGCAAATGGACTTGTAAGAGTTGTAGAAGGAACAACAAGGTGAGAGTTGTCTACAAATGTTGGCAATGTCTACAAGGTGATACAAGCAATGAACAGTATACAACATGCGATGCGTGTCTGAAAAATCAAGCTGAAGCTTCTTTTCAATGCTTCAATTGTGTATAAATATGACAAGGGAGGATCAGATACTTGCTAAGGAGAAAATCCTAGTCTGAAAAATCAGTGACCTAAATTCAAAGGCAAGGAAAAAAAATGAAGTCAAAGCTAATAGCAATATGACAGGGTTTTAGGGCATTATCATGTACGAGATGAAAGATTTGGATATAAAATTCATCAAACATTATCATATGTTCTGTTCAACAATTGGAAAAGGAAAAAACTAACAAACCCCATAATTATTGAATATTAAATGAATTAATACAGGGCGTATCAAAAATACGCAACAAACAGTTATCTCGTAAAACCACAAAACCAGTGATGACTACATCAATTTCATTTAATGTACCATAGAGCCACGTCCCTCCTCTTTGAAATGGTATATCATTCATTCACATGTGGGCATTGTTGGGTGAAAAATCATTCCTTTTGCTCAATTGGCCAAAGTGGGCTCTGGACCAAGTTTCAGATATTGCAAAAGTCAGTGCTAGGGCTAAGTGCTGATAGAAGTTCTCCTGACCTGAATTGTTGTGACTTTTTCTTTTGGAGCTATATCAGGAGCAAAGTGTTTACCATTCCTCACCCAGATATTGCAAAATTTCGAAAAAGAATAGCCAATGGGATGCTTTTCTATGCCTTAAACCACAGATGACTCAGAGCTGAACCATGAATGAAAATGAGAGATCTGCGCATCTTTGTTTGCAAAGAAGTGGTACGGGATGTATTCTTGTAAGAATATTAGTATGAACACTTCACCGTCTTTGCAACACCTGTCACACCTTTTTCCAATAGCACTTATGCCCCTTGCACTGAATTCAACACCTGTCACACCTTTTTCCAATAGCACTTATGCCCCTTGTACTGACTTTTGCAATAGAGGGGTAAAGGATGTATTCTTGTAAGAATATTAGTATGAACACTTCACCGTCTTTGCAACACCTGTCACACCTTTTTCCAATAGCACTTATGCCCCTTGCACTGAATTCAACACCTGTCACACCTTTTTCCAATAGCACTTATGCCCCTTGCACTGAATTTTGCAAGTGTTTTAAACTTGGTTCTGAGCTGATTTTGCCCCGCTTTGTGAAATCAATCATATTATTTGGCCAAACATGAATCCCTGAGAATGAATGATATACCATTGCAAGGAAGAGAAAAATATGGCTTTGTGGTTCATTGAATGAAAAGGATGCAGTCATCTCTGGTTTTATGTATTCTTCCAATAACACCTGGCCCCATGCACTGACTTTCGCGGTGTTCATAATAACTTTGCAAAAGAAATGATTACTCGCCCTACCATGACCCAATGTCAATAAATGACATACCATTGGAAAGAGGAGACACATGGCTTTATGGTACATTGAATGAAATCAATTCTGTTATCACTGGTTTTGTGCTTTTTTGAGTAAACAGTTTGTTGCCTTTTTTATACGCACTGTATATCCACATTTATGGAATGTAAAGGTGAAAGAGTGATTTTGAATGAATTTTTATGAAATTGCCATGATCAAATAGACTGATGTCAACAAAAAAAGATGATTATGTTAAAACATGCAAAATTCCATAAAACCAGAGGGTCCCTCTACACTTTTGGTGTATGTAGGTTGGAAAATAAAAAAGTTATAGTAGCTATCCTTGGCCTACCCTGTATATACCAAGCATTCAAATGAATATATTCCGTCTGCAAATAAATACATTCTACAAGTGCCATAGACCAATACATACACACCAGACTATTTTAGTGTTAGAACATTTCAAATCTTAATGATGATGTATCTATATAACTTCTGTATCTTTTAAGTAAGTTTAGATAAAGAAGAATGCAGTTTCAGACAGTGTTTAATTTATCTTTACTTTATCTTTACTACCAGAGGATTTATCCAGCAGCATGCCCCACTGAGAAAATAATTATAAAATCAAATGACATCTCAGGAAATTAACTGTTCAGAGAAAAACATATTTGTTATAAGCTTGATTCCACGCATGCCTATAAATCACTAACCTTAATTGGTATAAGACAACGTAGTTAGGGAAGGTGTCCTATTATCGACAGCCGTGATTATAAAGTTAATTTCTTAAGAGGAGGGGGTAAATATTGATTTCATAATCAAAGAGTGTTGAGGGTACAAGTACATAATTATCATATCTACTGTATATAAAATTTATCAATATCAGTGAAAGACAAGTCAACATTGCATTTTTTATTCATTTAAATTTCATTTTATGAGGGGAGGGGGCAAACCATAAAATTAACCACATTATACCATGATAATTATTTTGACACCATCCCTTAATAGACAACTGAAGATGACAACTTAAGACAGGAACATTATTTGAAGCTGGGACTGGAACATGGCAGGTACGTTTTACAGAATAAGAACGAGTTCTAACTGATCTTATATATAATTATAACTTATAAAATAATTCATTTTCATTCCATTCAATTAAATATATTTAAACATTTACAATTTGTGAAAGAAAATAATAATCAGATTTTAAAAAACATTAAAATTACCATGATATGTAATTATTTTCAGATTCAATAGTAATAAAAATGTTTTTTTATGAGCTATATCTTTGAAACACCAATTTCAGATAAGATAAAAGCATTTGATGTTAAAAATGTTGCCATTATACATATGACTTTACAAGATTTTACTGAATGAAATTAATTCTTTTTCATCATTCATGGAATCATTCTTATATTCACATTGGTTGATAAAGATTATTTCATTATCTCTACATGTAATTCATGAAATCAACTTGATTTCTGTGTGATAATTTTCTATTTAACTTCACAGGCGTTTTTACAAAGATCATTGGCATTGTTATTCTGGCAAAGTTGGTGTCATTCAACTTCGCCTTTGAACAAGATCGGACTGGATTATTCCTGAGCATTTCTGATGATGATAAAATCGGGAATAACAGAGGAAATAAATTTCTGCCACTTTATAATAGAGGTACAGTGTATGGGCCTATTTATGACAATTGATAAATGTATTTGAATTCAGTAATTCTACTTAAGCCTGATATCAATGACATTTAATGTGTTCCATTTTGTTGCCATCACAACACAGTGATCTCCCTAGCATTAAAGCAAGTGGGCGCAGCACCCACCTGAGATTTTGAAAATAGGCTTGCACCCACCTGAAAATCTATTTGCACCCACTTGAAAATGAGAAAAATCATGCCAAATTGGAATATTTGGACCAATTTTGGTCTGAATTGTGATGAGTTTGAGTTTGTGATTGTATTAGAGTTAAACTCTCCAGGACACTGGGGATTCTTTTTAAGATCAAGCACATCTTAGACAGAAAAACTTTTATCACTATCTACAACTCCCTGTTTCATTCATACCTTACATATGGTAACATAATATGGGGTAATACAAATCCCACAACTCTTAATCCATTACACTTGATACAAAAGAGATTTGTTAGGTTGGCAACTCAAAGTGGCTATAGAGACCACAGTCAACCACTTTTTAAAGAGCTTAGAATCATACAAATACATGATATATATAAAATCAATATTGCTGAATTTGTCTTTAAATGGAAAAATGATATAAACAATTATAAAACTATTTTTCCAGATTATTTCAAAACCCATGGAGATTTTCATAGATATAACACTAGAGGCAAATCAAACTTTACCCTTCCTAAAGCAAAAACTGAAAACTATGGCAAAAAAACAATAGCCTTTAGTGGTTCATCCATATGGAACAGTCTCCCAGAAGAAATAAAAAAGTCAAATTCAAGTTCTTTTCTTAAATCAAAACTTAAGAAACATATTCCCTCAGCTTATTAATCATTGGTTGACTGTGTCACTTCTTGTTTCTTCGCTAAGAAGTTAGGGTAGGCTCTCAAGGAAGGTACATGGGCCGACCTGGGGGCTGCCCCGACCTACTGACGATTTAACACAATGATTCTGATCGTACCAACCTTGGGGAAGGTACAATAATAACTAATATTTTATAAGAATCACACTTTTAGAAAATTATTGGCGTCAACGCGGTAGCCTGGCGTCTTTAAATAATAATTAATGAAACTACACATTCATAATTTTTTTCCCATGGCATATGGCACCTTCTTGGCTTCAAAAGAAATGAGCATCATGGATCCCCCCACAACCTTTATTTATCTACCTAACTTTTGTGATTACATTCTGGTTTGATTCCTTGACAACATAATAATATACTAAATGATTTAACTACTATATGTACGGGTATAAGCATCACCTGTGGTGCCACCTGTTATTAATAATATATGTACACATAATGATTAAATGTATGAATAAATTGAAATTGAAATTGAAATTGAATTGAATGAGAATGAGAATTTTGCACCCACCTGAAAAAAGTCCTGGGGGATCACTGCAATAGGTAATCATAACTATAATATACATGTATGTATTGAAAATATTGCTTATTTTTTCTTAAAAAAGCTTAATGATATATAGATGCTTATTTGAATGGTCTGAAGGATGTATTTTCAATTTTCTAAATGCCCCAGGCGCTAATTACAGAGAATATGGTATGTCCATAGCTGAAATGTTAATATTAGGGGGATACAAAATATTGGACAGCACAACTGAAATCTACAACAAAAATAACAATATTTGTCTGATGTTTTCATTTTCTGTCATTTAAAAGGTAACCCTTTATGAGGGTACTTTCTGGTGAAGCTTTCAACAAATGATGCTTTAACAATGTTAATTTATCAAGTGTTAAAGGACACAAATATTAGACAAATTGTTTAGTAAAAGTATTTCATTGGTAACACATATCTAACATTGCCCTTTTAGGAGCTGATTGATATGTTTATATAGGTTGGAAAATATCAACAAGATCAATAAACTTTATGTGCTGCAATCCGGGTTCATATTAACCACAAACAAAACAACTTTCTTTTTTGTCAAAAATTCATCATTAAAGCTGCATATTGCATGGTCACAGTAACCATTTGTGTTGTCATCAAAATAGCAAATATTAAATGTTGTTGATATCAACACACGTGATGGCGCAGGCTTCAGTAGAATAATAGAATATTATAGAATAATTGAATATATCCATTATCGTAAATATGACTATTATATGTAAAAATATATAACTACAACAATTAAATAGATAAGATAAAAAAATAGGTGAGGCAAATATAACCCAATCAAAAGAGTCATATAAGATAAGTGGGAAAAATCACTGTGGTGAAAGTCTTCTAACTATTGGTTAAAAATGGATCATTTCGATGACAAAATGTCGCAGCCTCGGAGGTACGATTTTTTATTTCTCCATGATTTAGTAATTAAACAAATCCAATTTTTTTGAACAATTTGAAGAGTTCCACCACAGAGTACTGAATTAATATGAATCTATTTCTGCATTAATTTTGCTGATGCAATACGATACAATACAATACAATACAATACAATACAATACAATGAGATGAGCTTGTATGGTATGTGTTTTCATAAAAAGTGACATTGAAACAATTATCAAAAGTCATCTTAGTCTACACCGTATGATGGATATTGTAATACGAACCGTGTTATTCTATTGAATTGAGTTTAATGAACAAATATTTCCAGGGCTTGGAGATGTCTATGGCAGATTTCAGCAAGATGAGTGGGGGAAAGACAAACTTTTAGGTTATGAAGAAACCAATGACAAGAAGGAAATACAAAGTGATGAAGGAGAAACAGAAAGTGAAAGGCAAGAAAAGCTTTACAAGATGTTACGTGAATTGCTTAGATACGCAGCAAGCAAGCATGAAACAACATATCACCTTTCGGGATCAGAAGCTGGTGTATCGAAAAGGCGTTATGATGGCTCGAAATCCACCCCATGGCATTTCCGAAAATGTCATAAAAAGAAAATCAGTGAGAAAGTGATACAAGATGTGAACTTTTTCATAAAAACATTAAGCCCAAGCAAAAAAGCAGTTATTCACCTTTGAATATATAACCTATTTATAAAGTTGATATTACACTAGAGCCTACAGTGAATGCATTTATCTGATACTTATGATGCACTATACTCTGTAAACATGACATTGCCTTTATGAACGTCTAGTATTATCTTCGTTAATGTAATTTTATACAGTATGTGTGAGAATAGGCACTATCATGTACCACTTTATTACACATATGAAGACACAAATAAAAATTTTATATTTTCAAAATTCAGTAGAACTAAAAGATTAAGATGAATTGAATTCCCTTTCCCAGTGATGGTCACATTTAACTTGCAGATTGGTCCAGCTCAGTATTTCATTGTCAATAGAAACGATTGTACAGGAATAAATAGAATAAATAAAATTTTAGAAATCCATTTTTTGATATGTTCTTTTAATCGTGACAATATGATTATTACAGGGTTGAAATAAGAAATTTTCTTCAGTAGATAAACTTAATACATAGAGTGATTTTAATTAATTTCCACTGAGCCATCATACTACCAGCTGGACTCGGTATAAGATAAATGTCACACACCTATGTTATCTCATATGAAACTAGAAACACAGCAGTTCCATGAACTAGCAAATCCCACTGATAATTAATTCCATTTTGAACTTTTTAGAATTGGAGTTAGCAAAGATTACATTTTTACGAAAATGGTGGCAACACACATATAATTATTCTCATGCAGAATCCTAGTAAAATCAATTCTCAGCTAATAGTATTTTCTATAGAAAATTTACTAAAATATAAATGTACTCACATCAATGGCAACAAGGAAGGGGTTGTAGTGACCTCCATTGCTGGTACATGTACTTGATTCTCCATCTTCTTGTTGGTACACATGAACATGCCAATTGTGTCCAGTTGTCTGTAAAATTAAGCAATTCTATCAAAAACAGTTTGATAACCTAGCTACATTAAACTCATATTTTCACTTCAAAGCTAATTTTTTTTATTATGCTGAATTTCTTTTCTAATCAATGAAAATTGCCACTTGTGTCTTATATAAAACTTGGGCAATTAAACACTTGTATTTGTGAAGAGAATAAATACATGAATAAAAAAATGATTTCGGATTCACAAATGAATATTTACAGGCAAAGGGTTATGGCTGAGTAGCTAAATTATCCAGCAACAAGTGACAAACTTAGTCAAACCTGTCACAAGGGCTACAAGAAACTCAATGTTTACAAAAATGTAAACATTTCAAAAGTCAACCTCTAATAAATAAAACAGCTTATATTCATGTCAATAGCATCAAAGTATCAACAAATAATATTGGTCTTCACTAGTTTTTGTTTATTTTCATGCGGATATTGCATTTAATGACAACTATTCTGTTTTGTGCGCAGTCAAGTGAATAATGTCAAGTGAAGAGTTTCCAGGTATTATTGATTAAACCTGAAACAACGGGTGAAACCGATAAAACTTAAACATCTGTATCAAATATCAACTCTTCAAATCCACTAGGGGGCTTCCCAACAATATGTGACAGGGTGACTTGACCTCTTAAAAGGCCATTTATTGTATTAAATGCTTTAATGACTAAAATGAATGAATATTACAAAATATGACAAGTAAAATTTAAGACAAGTGTAATTGAAATTTTCAAGGTGACGAAGGCAACATCACTATCTCCGCTTGAGGAGCCTTTGCTACTTCGCTAGTGTAAACTTAAGCATTTTGTAGCCAGTATAAATGGACATTCACAGAGAAATTTCCTAATATCTTGTACCATTATATTGTTTAAAAATTAATATTTTTAAGATCTCAGAGACTTCATACTTGAAAAGTTAATTTCTTTCTCATTCAAGACTGAATGCATGAGAATCAGTAAAAGAATTGTTGATTTCAACCAAAAAAGGTCATTCTAAATATACCAACTTACAAAATATCAATAAAAGTTAACAACTACTGTATAATACAAAAACAAATGTAAACATTCATACACACTGTCACTGTTAGGGGAGGCATCAAAAGATCAATGTCTGATGGAAAACTAAATAAATCTAGTTTGGGGGGGAGGGGGTCAAAGCTATTTCAGTTTGCTATCCGACAAATTTCAACATTTAAATTTTTCGCAATTTCGACTCGAAATGCCTTGGAATGGTTAAAGAATAAAGACTTTACCAGATGCCTTCTTCACCAAGATGCATGCAACATGGAATATTATGCCTATTGTTGTTGGCGAGTTTTAAGAATCATAAATAAGTTATAGTACTGGCCCCATGAAAGTCCAAACTGAGTCGCTAAAACATGTGAAAAGTCCGCGATCAACTTTCATTGTATTTAGTTTTGAGGGGGAGGGGGGGGGGTCCAACTCAAAACTAGATTTATTTAGTTTCCTATCAGACATTGAACTTTTGATGCCTCCCCTTATACAAACTTAGTAAACATAACAATAAATAAATGTTATTTTGTATAAAACATATTTGAGGATATGTTCATTTAAATCAGTTTACGCTCAGAACATGCTCTTTCATAACATTCTTTATTTAAGTTGGGATGTAAATAAATCTTAACAAAACTCACATTACCTTTTTTCTGAATCTCACGTTTTTACATCATTCTCAACTGTTTGTATGATTTGGGTCAGTAAAGAAAAGAACATATTTGTTGAGCTTGAACTTAGAATAATTTAAAAGTACTAAACGTACAATATTTAAAGAGTTTACCTTTACATTGTGTCAAACATTTACATACAATGTACCACGCGGTAGTATCTCTTCGGGACGTATCGAAACCACTCCGTCCCGAAAAACCGTTAATTTGAATTTAAAACCTACCCCAGTGTTTGAAAATCAAGGATTGTGAGTCTCACACTTCACCGTTTTTCTTCAAACTTGTTCTGTACAAAGCTTCACAGAAATACCTTTCAGTCGATACATTGTTTTCGTGTACAAAGTACCTCGTTTTAGCGGCGTTTTGGTCCCCAGCTGTGAGATAAAGCAAATTTTCATAACTTTCAACTGTAAGTCAAGTTATCTCTTCAGTCTTTTACCCATTCTCGCCCATAATTTCAGAATGGACTCCCATTACAACCTTCCATCGCTACGTCTTGATTTTTGGGCATCAAACGCAGCAGTTTCTAAATCATCCACACATCTCTTCAAATTTGACTAATACGTCCCGTCACCTTCCACTACGCCCCGCCGAGTCTATCTATTAGTGGAAGATGACGGGACGTATTGGTCAAATTTGAAGAGATGTGTGGATGATTTAGAAACTGCTGCGTTTGATGCCCAAAAATCAAGACGTAGCGATGGAAGGTTGTAATGGGAGTCCATTCTGAAATTATGGGCGAGAATGGGTAAAAGACTGACGAGATAACTTGACTTACAGTTGAAAGTTATGAAAATTTGCTTTATCTCACAGCTGGGGACCAAAACGCCGCTAAAACGAGGTACTTTGTACACGAAAACAATGTATCGACTGAAAGGTATTTCTGTGAAGCTTTGTACGGAACAAGTTTGAAGAAAAACGGTGAAGTGTGAGACTCACAATCCTTGATTTTCAAACACTGGGGTAGGATTTAAATTCAAATTAACGGTTTTTCGGGACGGAGTGGTTTCGATACGTCCCGAAGAGATACTACCGCGTGTGTACTAAATCTCATCTAAAATTGTGCTCACATGTGTTATTATCGAAATGTAGTGAAATGATATACATTTAGTACTAATTTTAAAAAAGTGTTTATCTAAGTGTTTAACTAAATGTTGCTGTTTTTTAGAACATCCTCTTTTCAAAACATATTACTTACAGTACCAAGGCATGAGTCCTCAGTTGGTCCTTACCTGATTACTGCTAACAGCATATTCCAGAAGGACTTCTATGTTTGTATTACCTAGAGTGCCATCACTGTACTTTACTTGGCTCTAGAAAACAAGAATGTGAACTTAGGTTTTGACCAATGGCTCATTGTTATGGCAGTCAATAAAAGACAAACATACTTATATAATAAGTAAATATGTGATATGCATATCATTATCAAAGCAACATTGAATTCAGAAAGTAAAATAAAAAAAATATTTTAACTGAATACTTTAAATAGAAATTATCCTATCAGTAATAAATATATCTACTACCTGAGACTAACATACCAAACGTTAATCTCAGCTATCACTCTATTTAACCTCTCTTCTAAATGGACTACATATACAGGTCTGTAGCCAGGGGGGATTCAGTTTTTCACCATTTTGAGCACTTTTCAAGTAATTTTGGCCATTTTTGGGCCAAAGTTGTTTAAAGTAAACCCCCCTGATTTTTTAAAAAAGTGGTCCCCCTTTGGCAAATTCTGGCTACGGGTCTACGGCTACGGGTGTAAATATGAGAAGAAATAATTTTGACTTTCATGATTAAACAGACAAAAGGATGGGTGTACTTTTTGAACACACTTTTCTCTTAAACCAGTCATCAAAAAATTCTGAACATTTTACATATCGTCAATTTAATGATCATCTATTAAATGGTAACAATATAATTTGGTATAAATATATATACTTTTCTCTATACTGTTTTAGAATACACATCAAACACTTGTTTTGTTCTTTGTATCATATGTTCGAAATGAAGTGAAACATCTCTATCCGAACCTCATTGGAACAAAATGACATAAACACAACGTGTTTAGGTGTCTCAATATTGCAATTGCACAAAGGAAAGTTTGGTTGACTTAAAAAAAGTATCTTGTTAATGAAATAAAGGGTTTATGTTAATTTTTATCTAGTTTGGGGGTTTTTGTTTTAATATCTTGAACCCTTTTTGTTAAATCAACCAAAATCTCCTTTGTATAACTATAACATTGAGAGGTCTACATGTAAGAAAATGCTGTATATACTATTTTGTTCCAACAGGCTTCGGAAAGATATTTTATTTCATTCTCAAGAATTGGTAAAAAGGAACAATAAACAATTGCACTAAAAACAAAAAATGTTAACAAAAACAGTAGTTTAAAAAATATAATATAAAAATAATTTTCGCATTAAATTGTTGTCAATCAGTCACAATTACATAAAGGACCATGTTTTTTACAGAATGTTTTCCATAACTGGATTAAGAGAAATGTAAAATGTAATGTCATTTCTAGGTTGCATAGATTCCTATTTTGTGCATACATGTTATAAAATCAGGAAAAGTAAAATAAATTTTGTGTTACAAATACTGAACACTACAGAATAATTCATTTGACTAAACACAAACATTTTAAAGGATATTTTCATTGTCAAACTCAAAAGGGTTAGATGAACAAATCTATCAACTATATCTATTTACTATTTAAGATGAAGGAAAGTTTCTCTAAGTCTGTCATATTATCTGACCTTGGTTAGCCACCTGGTGGTGAAACTGTCAACTAGGCACAGCCAACTGGGTAATTCAATAGAAGTTTAAATATCTTTTGAACTATATGTATCATTATTCCTTGCTCGTCTCATGAACTCAAAATGTTAAACACCTCATCATTTCCCTTAGGTTAGAATTTTACTTGTATTGCATCACATTAAGCATGAAACCTATATATCTGAACACCTCTCTTATCCGAACACCTCTCAATGTGAACACTTTTTCGCAGTCAAAAATTTGTTCTCTTCTACTGACTCACATGTTTATAAAAGCTTATGAACAGTTGCAGATCCAAACACATTTGGCCAGTCCCAGAGGCCTTCGGATGAGACAGGTGTTACTATACAAATTGACTGTAGTTTTAATTCTTTAGATTCAATCCATAGAGTGATAATTATGTCCTTTCTTATATGTTTTTGCTCTACTTTCAGGGTAATAAAACTTTACATGATGGGTACTAGTGTCTTTTCTTTTTTGCATACTTACAAATTCTATCTTTCCCTCTACTGTGCCTTCAAATTTAGCAGTGGCAGTGATCAGTTGACTCCCAGATGGCAGCACATTTTCTATGTTTCCACATGTCACACGGGACCCATCAGTTGTCTTATGAAGGACAATCGATCTGCCAACTATACTTTGTGGTCCAGATACTGGAAGATTGAAATCTGATAATGTTGCATCATATGTATTTAGATTTGTGACGCCGCCAAATTTTCCGCTAAGATCTCCTATTTCATATTCATCTGTAGTTCCTGTGCCTGCAGCGGGGAAGGTTGATACCTGGAATGGATTGAAATGTCCACCAACAGAGGCACCTGAACATTCCACCTCTTCATCCCCATTAATACTGAACTCATGAACATGGTAGCTGCTAATCTCCTGTGCAAGTCCAGTAAAACCAACAGAGAGGATTGTGGGATCAAATAGGGTGCTTTGCTCAATGGCAACTTCCCCATCAGGGGGCGATGTCACCCAGGTAGATACTCGCACCTTGACTGCATTTTCCAGGTGTATATTAGCACATGCAAGACGACTAGCTCCACTATCCTTAGCGTGAATGGTTACAGAGCGTCCTACGATAGACTGTGGACCATTCAGTGGAAGGTCAATATCAGTGTAAAAGTTATGGTACCAAAGCCCACTTCCTGAGTTACCAATACCAATCTTGCCATGTTTTCCTGAAAGGTCACCAACTTCACACCTGAGTTGGTTTGAGCTGGAACAGGATGAATAGGTGGCACTCAGGTCCACTGAGTATGGGTTATAGTGCCCCTGACAACTTGCACACCGACCAGTATCACTCATGAAATCTGCTTTAATGGGATCAACATGTACATGCCATTTGTGATCAACACTTGGTGTTTCACCATTACCATACATGAGCTCAACATATACAGTAGTCTGTCCAAGAGGCTCATTCATTGGCTCCCGGAATATCATGTGTCCAATGACAGGGTAAGTGAAGGTCACCTTGGCTGTGCGCACATCTCCCGGGTACCCTATACTGGCACACACCCATCGACTACCATCATTTGCCTTATGTATAACTACAGAGCGACCAATTATACTGTTAACACCCCATAAAGGCATATTCCAGTCTGTAAAAGAACTTGTGACATTACTTTGAGATGCTAAAATATTGCCATATTTTCCACTTAAGTCACCAATCTCATACTGATCATTTGTTCCTGATCCAGGAGCAGGGTAGCTTGAGATGCCAAATGGGTTGAAGTGACCTGCCACAGATGCAGAACTGCACTGTGTGGCATCTTCAGTGAACCTTGGAGGCACTGGGTAAAGATGAATATGGAAGCCACCAGCCAGACTCTGTAACCCAGTGAACTCGATGTTGGTGTGTGTCACATCAAAAGGAGATGCCTGTGTAAAGCTCACTGATCCCTTAACTCCATCCATATCAAATGTTGCCATCACAGTTTTTGATTCAATTGCAATAATGTTAGCGCAAGCAATGACAGTACCACCTGATACTACCACAAGTGATTTCCCTACTATGCTGTTTGTCCCAGTCAGAGATATTTTTGCATTGTTATTCTGAAATGTTTTGCTCGTAGGTTCAGAAACATCTACAGATACAGGTCCTACAACCCCTGGTACATTATTACCTGTGGCCCCACTAGGGTTGAATATACTCCCAATATTTGTGCAACGGTCAGCTACAGCCACTGACTCTCCCAAATCAGCTGAAACAGATCCTGTATAGATTTCCAGTTGCGTGGTCGTGCCATTTATCGCCACACTTGTACCATCAATAAAGAACAGTTCTGAGAGTATGGACATCTCAGCATTTGTTTGGTTGGCTTGCCTAAATACAACACGTCCCCCAATGGATGCTGGGAAGGTTGCCATGGCAGTGTAGTAGCCATTTATGTTGTTGATGGTTGCACATGCACGCATACTTGGTGTATACACCAATACAGACCTTCCTGGAAAATTAAACATAAACTGAACTTTTTTGGATCAATGTTGTTGTATTTTCCTATCAATGTCATACTTTCCACACTCTTATTGGTCGAAGCCATACACACAGCATTAAGATGTATTCTTAAATTTGCAGAAACATAGAAAACAGCACTATAAACCATTGGGAAATTTTTCTTCATATCCATGAATAAGCATTAGCATCACATGTACATTTATATTTAGCTTTAAACAACTTAAGCTATGGTTAATACCTTTTAAACCTTTTAAGTTTTAAACCAATATTTAAAAGAATTATGCTCAGTAGTAATTGAAACTGATTGCTGTCAGTCAAACACCATGCATAATTATACTTATATTTTATATTTGTTCAAACCTGGACCTAAAATGCTTAAAATATTAAGGTCCGATTAAGACCCATACACTTCACAGATATTTAAACTTGGTACATTCTGGAGCTGAAAATTATTTAAACTAATTAAAATAATCAAGCCCAATTTGTAGATACATATACACATGTACCGATCTTGCAAGAGCTACTATACAACCATGTTTTCAGTTTTGAAGTACAACATTCACAAACCTGCAATACTTGCATCTGTTGTTGAGAGCTTTAGGACCGTGTTACTCACAGAAATTGAATTCTGATTGGCTGCTGTGATAACACCATACTGATCCGTTAGATTACCATCTGTATCTTGGAACCTGCACATAAAACACGAAAATATAACAGTTTTTTACTATAAATAAACACTTTGTTTACCAAGGATAACATGCCCAATGATGAATGTAATAAAGAGACACCTGCAAAGGAGATACATGTTGTCATAGGCCTATGATAAGGTCTTTTTGTGATTTAAGTTGGCACGTAATTCAGCTTCCTCAAATATTGCAAATATTAACAACGCATGGGGCTGGTGAAAATATCAACATATTGAAGTTGCATTTGGGAAAGCTTCGATGATCCCTCTATTTCCTGTTACTGCAATGTGATTCACCCAAAATGGTGAAGGGGGGAATTGCCAATAACTAATCTTACCTCGAGCCTAAGACAGAATCACTGCAATGTTCTGCCTTGTCCCAATCTACAGGGTATTCATGGATCTCCCACTGCATGTCTTCTGTGACACCCTGTAGACTGGTTGCTATGGTGATGTCACTGCCATCCTCTGTGAAGTCAATGTTGCCTGATATACCAACCATACTGAATTCTGCTCTCAATGTGACTTGTCCCATACATGCCCCTGAAAATTTCATTTTCAGAATGTCTACACTGAATTTAAGAAGGGTCAAGAAATTCAGAGGTAAAAAATTCTGAATTTTATATTAGTAATTCATTCTTTCTACACCAAATATCTTTTGCTCTGTACTGTACTTTGATGCAAAGTGATGTTTTAACATGTTATGTTGCCTCTGATGTAAAAAACTGATAAAAATTTTACTTTATTATATACCCAATATGTAACACTAATCCTGATTGGTCGATACCTAGTCACGTGTTTCGAAAAAGATTAACTATTTCCATGTTTTCATGTTCGAATCGTAAATATAGACCTCAGAGCAGGTGAAATATTGTCGAATACACCCCGCAGGGCTAGGTACAAAAGCTTTCGAATCCCTCACTCCCTTTGGTCAATTGGGGTACAGAAAACTTTTGTGCCTAGCCCTGCGGGGTGTATTCGATGACAATACCCCTGCTCTTGGGTCTATATATCGTCGCGTGAGAATAACTTTGTACTAACTGCCATTTTCAAAAAAATTGAGATAGACATGGAATTTTACTATTTGAAACACAGGCTTTCATCACAGATACATGCCCCATCTCAATTCCCTCTCATTAAACTAGAATCCAATGTGAAATTGTACCATCTCCAGACAAACAGCTTATTTCTAATTTCAAATTGTCATAACTGATATCAACTGTTTCAACCAATCAACTCTCTAAGAATTGGTCATGTGACTTGCAAAACTTGGAGTTATAACAATCTTATATTAAAACAAAGTATGCCAATATGCATGTTATTGTATCTAGAATGAAATAATGTTTTGTAACACAATACCATGCCAGTTTGCATGCCTGGCCTTTTCATTTTTAGTTTTAGAACTATTACAAGTAGATCAAAAAAATAAAATGATACAGTATGTGTAATCCCATGCATATTCAAATTATATGCCCTCAATAGACTAGATGCGAGTAGAAATTATATTGATTTACATCATCAAATATTCAAAATTCAGTCAAAGTGATGTCATCTACATGTTAAAGTACATCTAGAAATATGGTTTCGGAAATTGTTTATCAACTTTGAAAATTCAATTAAAAAAAAATGTGACTTCTAGTTCGGGTTGATTCCCCATAGACCCCATGTTACAAAGTCACAAAAAGTGAAATATCTTTTCTTGCATTGGACAGATAATATTTTCTTTTACTGGACATATTTTGATTTGCATAACTATTAGATACATAAGGGTTATATAAAAATTGAACCACTAAAACAGATGTAATTCAAGTAAAAGGGAACTTTCTACTATATCCAGTACTGTCAACCCCCAAAGATTTTCTCGCGGGACAGATTTTTTAGACCCAGTGCCCAAAATTCGCGGGATTTTGCGGGACATCTACTAAATTCGCGGGATTTCGCGGGACATTTAAGGGATTTGCGTGATTGCGCTTATAGGCCAATTTTTTTGTCAAATTCGCGGGATTTCGCGGGACCATTCGAGGGACGAACACCCTAATTGCGGGACAGTTAACAGGTTTACCAGCAAAAACTTCATAGAGGGACAGATTTTCTAGAAAAAGTGCCCTAAATTTGCGGGATTTCGCGGGACATCCACCTAAATTTGCAGGATGTCCCGGGACATTCAAGGGATTTGCGTGATTTGGACTAATGTAAAAGCGTGTAAAAGTACTTAAATCAAACTTTCAGATACTGATTAATCAAATATAATGCACCGTTACATTGTAACTTAAATAAACGCCAACATAACTTCACAAAATACGCATATGAATATTATTTCAATTGAAAGCCCATGGTATAGGGTTTCGATTAATCTACATCAAATTATAGGGAATGAGGTTACTTTTCTAGATAGGGTTTGTAGAAAAAACCGGGTACCGGGTAGTAAATCCTCAATGCTGGGTTCAAACTTGGTACCCGCCGGTCGAAAAAAACGGGTACCCAAAAAACGAAATATACGAATATACAACATAATTAGATCATTAGAAAACGTGTAAGATTTGTTTTGAATTTACAAAAATGTATGTAACTTCCTTCAAAATTGAGATAGAAGCTTCAAATAAAAAGCATTTTAAGCCTCTTTTCTTCCTCTATCATCATGGTCATATTTCCATTGGTAATGAAGGGGGAGGGGGGGATTGCGATCCTACCATCACACCCTCACCTGGCTACGCCAATGACATTGTAAGACGATTTGAATAACAAGGCAAATCAATTTTACTCTATTTTCAATAGTTCGTATGTTGGTACGTGAATTGTTTTGATTATGATTTAAATCTGTAAATTGCTATCGTTGCTTTAGCAGAGAGGTGACGTGTGTTAATTTACATGATGCAATGTGTAAGATTTTGATTATTAATCATAATTTAAGTTATCCCAACTGTCGACAAAATGTCCACTGAATTGTCCACTAAATTGTTATGTCTTACAATGTCATAGGCGTAGCCAGGAGAGGGTGCGATGGTGCGATCGCACCCCCCCCCCATAACCGATGAAAATATGGTCATGACGATAGAGGAAGAAAAGAGCCTTAAAATATGCTTTTTATTTGAAGCTTCTAGCTCAATTTTGAAGGATGTTACACACATTTTTGTAAATTCAAAACAAATCTTACACGTTTTCTGATAATCTAATTATGTTATACTCGTATATTCGTTTTGTTTTTGGGTAAGCTTACCCGTTTTTTGACCGAGTACCGGGTACCTACATCCCTATTGTCGTAATTAAAATGAAAGTTGAACCCTTCCTCTTTATTTTGATACCAAACAACAGCATGCTAGGCACTTACAATTAGGTAAACTTTACTCCTCAAAAGTGCAAAAACTTAGCTTGTTATATAAGATTAGATAATCACAATATAGGAGATTGCAACAATTTCGGAAATTCGCGGAGGTCGAAAGCCACATTTGCGGGACTTCGCGGGACATTGCGGGACACGCAAATTAGCCTAATTTTGATCGAATTCGCGGGATAATCCCGCCATTCGCGGGACACTTGACAGCTCTGTATATCCGCCATGCTATCTGACCCGAACGAGCCACCTGGTGGTAAAACTGATAACTTCCTACTCGCATCTGCGTTATTACTCTTTGTATTATGGATGCTCATTGGATTATTCATGGCCACATGATATGAAATAGAATTACTAATTTCCTAGAAAACCTAAATCCTTGCTACCAGGGAAGATGAAAAGTACAAATGACCAGTTAATTAGATCATGTGAGCAGTCAAAAGTACCCTTTATCTTCCCTTCTACCAGGTCTTATAGGGGTTTGAATGGCCAAATGCAATAGAAATGCATATACAAAGCTGTCATCATTAAATGTTGAAAATGAAAGACTACTTATTTGTTTCTTCAAATAGAGTACATAATAATAGGTTATATACTAGATATAGTAATCAAAACAAATAGTAACTGTCATATTTTGCACTACATTGCTCAAAGGCAATCACTGTCTGTATACTATTGAAATCTCTTTCAAAATGATGTTTTATAGTTTGTGGAAAAAAGCTAAATCTATTTAAACTAGCTTTAATTTTTACTGACCATACACTATATCAATAAGGAGTTATCTTTATCAGTTTATGTTAGTATAGTCCCTTAAAACACTTATTTTATTTTCTCTTCATCTATGATTTACTTTGCGCTTTTCACTGAACATCTGGGATCTTTTTAGTTATTTTATTACTAGTATGTTTTTCAGATTTGTCCTTTCTTTTGCATTTTTGGGATCATTGTTTTTAGATCATCTACATTTTATTTTGAAAAAGTAACAAATTGGTTCAATTTCTTTACAAAGAGCCACTCTTAGTCTCCACTTCTACAATTGCTTCAATTCCCAATTGTACTCCACAGAGTAGCAAACAACAGAAAATGAATGGATAATGATAGCTGCATCCCAATGAACAAAATGTGATTACCTAAATCGAGGTTTCATCACTTTCATTAATCTAAAATGAATTAGAAATTATTTTTCTATTTTCAAATTTCTTCCATGTGCATGTAATAAAAATTGGTTATGTCTTAGGCCCTAAGGATCTGAAACCTGCTGGTCAAAATGGAATTACGGACCAGTTGCAATGTTATTCTCCTATACCCAGTGAAAAAATCAACTGGTCTGTATCAAAAATAACCTGATAATGACCAGCGGACCGGCCCTTAGGGGCTACATTGTAATGTGCTGGGAGGTTTAGGCTACAAGGTTTATACCGAGGGAAATATGTGGGGAACCGTATTGGCATCATTGGTTTCAATGCATTGTACTTCTGCCTTAGTTTCAAAGGCAATAAATTCTTTTTGAAGGGTGTCCTGAGATTCCAAAATTAAGAAATAATTGTACTTATTTGAGAAATTGATTTTTAAAGTTTTATAAATTGAATTTTCTTTATTTTATTAAATAATATTCTATTTGGTTTTTGAAGATTTTTTTACAAAGCACAACATTATTTTTCATTCTAGATACAATAACATGCATATTGGCATACTTTGTTTTAATATAAGATTGTTATAACTCCAAGTTTTGCAAGTCACATGACCAATTCTTAGACAGTTGATTGGTTGAAACAGTTGATATCAGATATGACAATTTGAAATTAGAAATAAGCTGTTATTCCGGTGGGAAATTGTATCAACTCCATTTCCATAGTTTTAAAAAAGGATCTTGTAAATTGTTTCAAGGTATGATATTTCATATAAGATATCTCTAGGGTGAGACCAGGTGACATACTAAAACATTCACTTATCTATCTACATTTAAAGGCATCAACCTCTTTTAAAGATACAATATCAAATAATTGACAGGGGTAAAATGATGGCAACTTCAACTTCAAGTCCTTTCTTCATTAATTTGACATGATATGACAAGGTTTGATGTTTTTAATATGATTTTGTCATGTGAGCAAAAAATGTTTTCTATCGTGGGCATAATTTAATCTAATATTTTAGACTCATCTCATATACATGGGCGATCACTGTACATGTCTTTGCAAAACTATGTGATGTGTTTCGTTAAGTCTAATATCATGAGCTTACCATTTGTAATCCATTTAGTCTCTTTAAAAATAGACTTCATTATTGTGTACAGTAAAACCTTTCAATATTAAACATTTATTGTTGAGAAAAATGTTCAGTGTTGTTAGCTGTTCATAACTGAGAGGATACACGAGACAGGTGTTCACGAGAGAGAAGTGTTCACGAAGACAGGTTTTACTGTATTTTTATCTAGTAGGAGTTATATACGAGGGGTTCGTTGTATATAAATTTTGGCAGGGTTCTACCTTTAACATCTTATATTCAAGTATCATACATTTTATATACAGTTTGTAATAATTGGGAAGTAAGACTACAGGGACGTGCCAAGTTCTAAATATGGGCCCAGTGCCATACCAATTGTCCAAAAAGCTCATCCAAAACAACCTCAAATATTGGACATGTGGAACAACTAGACCAACTGCATATCACAAATGTTAGGAAACATAATTAATGTATATTGAAACCATTCTCAAACCAGAATGTGGTAAAATCTGACAAATGCCACAACTATAACTGGTAATTTAATATTTCATACCAAATGTTGAAAAAAGATATCTAAATCTGCCGAAGATTTATAAACATTATTGTGAACCCCTGATGCGTATGTCATGATTTCTCAAAATCAAGTTTAGTTGTGTTTGCTGATTCATATCATCATTCCTAATCATGAAGACATGTTCCAAGTTAAAGGAAGTATATGAAGAAGGAATAGAGTGTAAAATGTTGGAAATAATCTTAAATATACATGTATGGCCAATGTTTCCCAAAAATTTTTAATTTTATTTTCAGAAAAAAAGTTGAGACTTTGAATGAGGGTAGAAGCCTGAATTCATAGACAAGCATAGTAAGTCACTCTATTAAGCATTTAATTTAATGGTTATCCCGGATGAAAATAACAGCTATTGACCCTTTAACATTTTTTTACAATGATCATATGGTGTCAAATAATAATCGATTTTCTAAAAGAATGTAAACAGTTCAGCTTAAGCCATGTTTGGAAAGATAAGGTCTTCAGGGGTTTCATTAGCAGCAGGCAACAGGCATTTTCACCAGTTGTTTTCACAAAATCGCCTGTTGTTTTTAGGGACTTTTCAACTTTTCCATGTTAAAGGGGCAACAAGGCCTGTACAGAGAAAATAGGAAAATTTTGACTTTTTCTGAGCTATCAAGGCAACATTTGGCTTAAAGGTGCAACAATTAGTGCAGAGGGGCCATTCAATGATCATCAACCAGTGTCAAAATATATTTAAGTTTGGATATTTCATCAAGACAAACATGTACTTTCATTATCTACAAAGAAACCCACTGGGTGAACATTATTTCAGCTGATATTCCTCTTGAAACATGATGGATCTTAATAAATCTATAAGTGGGACTCTCTTTATGGAAGCTTTGAACTGAATTTACACTTCTTAATGCTGAAATTGATAGTTTATACATATATTTTAAGAAAATAGGTATGTCAAAGAAGGTGTTAAGTCAAATAGCTCAGAAAAAATAAAAATTTTCGAATTTTCTCTCTACAGTCCTGAACATGAAATGAGAATGAATAGATGTTAGCTGGTTCAGAAGATACTGGTAATATAAAAAAATACCAATGTATTTTCATGAAATTTATAGTATCATCCGCCAGGGATATGGATATTGGGGAAATCTATGGAGTTCAAAATTTGATGTAACTACATGAACAACCAGCAATGGAATTTTCTTTCAAGTGATCACCTCATCATGCCTTCTTCCCTGGGCTTTCCCTATACCTTGTTGTGAGTGAATATTCGACTATACACACAAGAGGCCCTAACACCTATTCATCCCATTGCAGTAAGATTCCACCTATTCATAAGTTCATGAAAAGAACAGCAATTGACTGTGTCCAATATACTACAATTATTACAAGAACATTGCCAAGTGCAAATAAGCAATGAAACGTTGTTTATATTTCAGTTGACAAAGCACACTTCAGGTAGCCTCAACACAGGAGTTTGTGTGCATAGCCAAAGCATATAGTGATGGTTAACAATTTCAAGTTTGAAAGTTCAGCCTTTTTCACTGGTCCACAGCAAATTATTCTTTGAGTTTGTCTCATCCAAAATATGCTAAACCTCCAACATCAGCTAAAGTGGGCAGGTTCCAAAAGTCTGATTATAACCTGTATTGTCAAAAATCTCCAAAATTGAAAAATATCAGCAAACGAAAACAGATTTGCTTAGATGTGACTAACTCTAATGGCCTTTGCATTTATGTAAGTGTCATTTTAACAATTTGAAACTTGGATAATTATTTCATTGTAATGGTATTCAACCCTTGAAGATGACAGAATCCACATTATCTTTAGTACCTTTGTATAGCAACAATAGTACATTTGTTTCCATAGTAACCACATCCTATATCACAATGCATCATCAGGTTTGCTTACCTTTTCCCCCCAGCACAAGTCTCACCATTAATTAACAGATAATTGTCCCTAAAATGACATCTACCCCTTCCACTCTTTGGGAGGGATTTTCTTTTCAGGACACACAGGAAAGAAAATGCATCTCTCCGTGACAACTCTACTATTTGTTCAGATGCCTGCAAGACCTTAAGTTACATGTATTTAAAACAATAGAGTATGTAAAACTATGCATGACCCCAAGCTATATTAGTACATGTATGTTGTACACCGGGGCTGTACATGTTGTTCTTTATACAGAAGTAGTAAAAACTTACCAATACCAACACAGAGAATCAGCGACAGAAAATTCAATTTGAAGTCCAAATTGTCCATGTTTCCTGGTTTTAGTTGATCCCGTCCACAGTATCCTCGTCCAGTGGTTTATTGTTCAATGTATACTTTAACCTGACATGCAGCTTTTCAATAAGCTTTTGAAATCCTCTTTTCGCTGATTTTGACAATCCGAGTGACAATCCGTCTTTCGATGGGTGAGTCGATATCTGAAGGGAGACACAGGACACTAAGTACTACAGCTCAACTAAGACTCAACTCTTTTCCCTGTAATACAAAGTGTAAATAGCTGCTACTGCCTACCATTTTAGGCTAAATATAAATCTTAATCCAGGTATCCGCCATATCATATGTTTATGCATATGTTTTTGCATATGTTTATTGGAAATTTTATTTAACGGGAAAACATTCGGTAATATTGCACTGGTCACCATTATAAGAGAAGGTCACCATGAACCAGAGACCACACTTGTTTTATATCAACTGTTTATATGCATGAACTTAGGCCAGGCCAGTCAAAGCTAATTCGTAATTTCTTAGGAAAGTCTAAAAATGATCGAAGTGTCGGGCGAAGTGTACTGTACACGTTTTGTCACATACTGTACTGCGGGATAAATACATCAAACAAACTAGAATAAACTTAGGGCCTAGTATAATTGCACAATTATGAAGGTCGATCCTATTTAGTCTGAATTTATTCAGACCTACATGCACTTTGATGGAATTTCATGACCATATTGTGCTATTTTCAGATAAACAAAATCATTCCACACATAATCTACATCTTTCATTATTGCACAAAAGATGCATAAGTGTACCTAAACTATTAATTGAGGGTTGATATCTTCAGAATGTTTGAATAACTAGAATATTCAGTGGTTTACTTTTCAAAATTGCAAAAAAATCCAAAGTGCACCCTGACCTTAAAATTTGGTAATTACAAATATTTGTTTACATAGGAAGTGCTATTCAAAATGGCTGGTGGAATGAATTAATTTGCATACTTGTTACTTCAACTAGCTTTATTTCCACTTGACAATATGCTGTGTTACTTTTTATAGCATTTAATTGTACCTTACTACTTAATTGAACTTTTATAATGTTTATTTTATTGAAGAAATGGTTCTTGTAATTGACAATTTTGTGCAAAAAAATTCACTGCAATTTCCACAGGACAGTAGCACATCATAACAGACTGACTTCTAGTCAGTCTTGTTTATAGCAAAAACATTGACTTTTGCACGTTGGTAATGATGCGCCTTTTTTAATAGATCTCATATCTTAGAAGCGTATCAGTTCTTAATACTAGAAGACCTAACATATTTTGCCATGCACTGCGCCTATTTATCTAGCAATTCAGTTGTTAATTTTTTCTTGAAAAAATAAATCTTCAAAATTTGTTGAATTTTCTTGCAGAAATCGCCTACTCCCCCCCCCCTCCATCCATTCTGTACGATCACCGGGCGTGATTTAGAATGGTTGACACCCCATAGTCAGATTAGACGATATTTTAAATTATATTGATGTATCTGGTCATTTTAATAGTTCATGTACCTCTTTCTAAAACTTCCCTCCGGTTATACTACGTTTGATTCGAAATTGTAATTGCTATGGGAAGATGGATATGGGATAAGTGGCGTGATACTATTCATTCAATGATAAAATACCTGTTGAATAATATCGGGGAATAATGGTGTTATTAGTACAATAACGTCATTTCTAAGGGCAATATAGTGAAATATTGGACCGAGGGCCGAATTCCCGGGGAAAATTGCCGGTCCAGAATATATTCTAGACCGGTCCATATGGACCACCACTATGACGTCACACATTTCTCAGGTCGATATAGTAAAATTAACGCCTTCTAAACTAGCACTAAAACCCCTAGGTGACTGGCCCGGCAAGATGGTAATAATGTACAATAGCCAGAGCAATACCAGGTATATAACGTGGATAATTATTTTGGATCAGATTTGATATCTGATGCCATCCCACGATGAATTTCATATCTACACGCCCGGTGATCGTGAATATGGGACGGAGGGGGGGAGCAGGCAATTTCTGCTAGGAAATTCAACAAATCTGGAAGATTTATTTTTTCAAGAAAAAGTTTACTATTGAATTGCTAAATGGATAGGCGCACGGTATGGTAGAATATGTTAGGTTTTCTGGGATTTTTTCTGAAACGATACGCATCTAAGGTATGAGATCTATTAAAAAAGGCGCAAGGCCATCAACAGGCACAAATCAACGTTTTTGCTATAAATCAAGCAACAATGGTCTGGACGACCTGTAATAAATACTTGTAAGTGATGTTATCATAACTAAATTAATGTCATTGCTGAATTTATAAAATAAGTTTCCATATGTGAAATAAAAAATAATCGAAAATAATGAATTTGGGACGGAGGGGACGGAGGGGGGGGAGCAATATGTATATAAGACGTGATTAGAGATGTTTCGCGACTTAAGTCCTTTTACTCCAAATGTCCCCATTTTTCACTCTCCAGAGGTATATCATCCAGTTTCTTACTATGTTAATGAGTTCATTTTTCAAATACAAGAATTCGTGTGAAGTTGCTTCACTTTATAGAATTATTACTCCCCCCCTCCGTCCCCTCCCCCCCCCCCCCCCCCCCCTCCGTCCCATTTTAATTATTTTCGATTTTTTTTATTTTACGTATGGAAACTTATTTTATAAATTCAGCAATGACATTAATTTAGTTATGATAACATCACTTACAAGTATTTATTACAGGTCGTGTAGTCCATTGTTGCTTGATTTATAGCAAAAACGTTGATTTGTGCCTGTTGATGGCCTTGCGCCTTTTTTAATAGATCTCATACCTTAGATGCGTATCGTTTCAGAAAAAATCCCAGAAAACCTAACATATTCTACCATACCATGCGCCTATCCATTTAGCAATTCAAAAGTAAACTTTTTCTTGAAAAAATAAATCTTCCAGATTTGTTGAATTTCCTAGCAGAAATTGCCTGCTCCCCCCCCCCCCCTCCGTCCCATATTCACGATCACCGGGCGTGTCTATACAAAACAGCTAATAGATATTATTGATATCCGTGTTTTTCAGAAAATCGCTGGGGGGTATCGTGATGCAACAACACCGCGTTCTTTGCACGGATTTAGTTCCTCACTATTGATGCAACAACACCATTATGTTTATTATCAATGATGTAAAAACACCAATGTGCTGATGCAACAACGCCAAAGTCTTTATGAAACCTAAAAGGATTTAACAAGACGAGCGATATACATAATAATCGTATTTAATCACATATTATGATATTGTAGTACATGTACGTTTACTAAGTAAGTAAGTTAATCACTTTCTAAATGACATCATAACAGACACTAATGTGGTCCCAAGTCTGGAGGCCTGTGTTCGGAGGATGTCCCACATCTTGAAACTACTTTGAATATAAAGGCTGGTCGCCCAATTCGTTCGAATCCCAATCGTCCGAGCCCTATTTGTCAGGAATGCGTGGAACAAATCATCGCGTCGATTGATTATTGAATAAAATAGATTTCCCGTTTAGCCGTGTTTATTATGGCTGGCCGTCTGGACCAATGTATCGTCATACTTTTAACGCCGTATTACACCCTTGGTATACGCAGCTAACGAAAATTGACCGGTACGGGTCAAAAGCTGGACCGGTACGGGTTAACGGTTTTATTTGAATTTAAAACAGCCATAACTTGCTCAATATTGACTTCCTCGTGTCTAATTTGAAATATATGATGCCTCCCGATGCTTTTAAGTACCCCAATTTTTTACAGATTTTTAAACGGACCAAAACTCTCTAAATGCGCATTTATGCTCTTTTCTCTGGAGAACGACTGTCTCATTTTATTTAGTACTTTTATTTAGTACTTCTTACATATAAGATCTATTTTTCCCCATCAAGGTATGATGTAAATGACATACTATTTATCCTGCTTGCAGCGAGAAGACGGACCGGTTCGGGGCAATCTGCTTGCAGCGAGAAGACGGACCGGTTCGGGGCAATAGCTGATGAAATTCTTTGTCACAAAGTTTGGCATTTTTTATAAAATCAAACGCGCGTCATTGAAACTCACAAGATGTAAATAGCATGTCATTTACATCATACCTTGATGGGGTAAAATAGATCTTATATGTTAGAAGTACTAAATAAAAGTTATCGTGAAAATGAGACAGTCGTTCTCGAGAGAAAAGAGCATAAATGCGCATTTAGAGAGTTTTGGTCCGTTTAAAAATCTGTAAAAAATTGGGGTACTTAAAAGCATCGGGAGGCATCATATATTTCAAATTAAACACGAGGAAGTCAATATTGAGCAAGTTATGGCTATTTTAAATTCAAATAAAACCGTTAACCCGTACCGGTCCAGCTTTTGACCCGTACCGGTCAATTTTCGTTAGCTGCGTATACCAAGGGTGTAATAAATACTCTTAACGCCGTCAAAAACGATTTTTACGCCGTTAAAAATTACTTTTAACGCCGTCAAAAACTATTCCATACGCCGTTTAAAATAACTTTTAACGCCGTCATAAATTCATTTTGAACGGCGTCAATAACAATTTTATACGTCCTTACTTTTAACCACGCTTAAAAAGCATTTTGAACGGCGTCAAAAATGATTTTGAACGCGTCAAGAATTGTAATGTGACACGTAAATTACGTCTTTACAGTCATTCCACATATAAGCAGACATTCGTGTCGCCAAGGGTTTTTTCTCAAGCGTTAATAGATATATATAGAAACTTTTTAAGAACATCTACTTAGGACCAATACCAACTTGTACAACCACCATACAGCAAATTTTAATTGTTTGGTAGTAAGTGAGAATTTTTTCTAACTTAATTTGATGACAAATTCCTCAGGTACGTTATGTCGCCAGAGTGCATAGTGATGTTTTATAAGCATAACTGAAGTAGTTATAGATTTCAGAACACATCCAAACTTCCTGAAAAGATACCTGTGGGTATATACTTTATTTTACCAACTTTTCGAGTAATTTAATCCTTTCCAACCTAATAATCAGATGCCCGGAACCCATGTCGCCAGTTTTTTTTTCTAAAATACCACTTTAGATATTTCAATTTCTAGAGAATGCACGAATTACTTAAATGTTTAACCCAGAGTGATATTTTATCAGAAAATGATTTATCAAAATGCATGCAAAGTTTAAAAACTGTATTCTATCCAGAACAAAAGTTATAGGTCATAAAGGTGTCATTTTTCAATTCAAAAGATAAGGATTTTAAGGTACGTTACAATATTTCCCAACATTTTGTAATATCTTGATGGAATTAGCAAATAAATTCTTGAATATGACAAGGCGGACATTCAATACAATGTGCTCATTACCTTTGTTCGCTCTGTTATATTGCTTTATTGGAACATGTAATGAGTTTTCCTCATGTACGTTGCAATAAGGTACGTTACGGAAAGTGCGAAATAAGTTG